CCATTCGACCGTTCCTTCCCCGAACAAACATTCTCTATCATCCTCCTAGTTCTTCAAAACAGTCTTATGATCTCACATCGCCAACGACTTCTGCCGTTTTAATGCCTATTTGTTGCCATCATCATCATTTAGCACAGTGTTCAACAGGAACATTACAACACCATGTTCCGCCGCATGTTATTCCACTCCCACCATCCGCAGTACCGTCGATGGCTACACAAGAACAGATCTATGCGGGATCGGAAAGTATTGTATGAACAATTCAATGATATTATTATTAGATGAAAACGGTGTTGTCAGATGATTTTTAATAAGAAATTCAACTATCAATCAGATTCATTCACGAATTGTTTTGCTTTTTTTTCTTTTATAACTGTACTTTTCTTTGTTGATGTTGTTTTCTTTTCTTTGCGAATAATTTCTCGTCTCCTGTCTCCTCACTCTCTCTCTCTCTCGTGCGTTTACTCTCTATTTTTGTTACCGGTCCTCTTCTTTCCTCTGCAATAAAGATAATTAATCAGTTCTCTTTTTCTAATGAAAGTTTACACAACTTGTAATTTATTAGTATTCCATAGTTGTTTAATAGCGAATTCATAACTGTCAGGAATTCGTCTTGGTTTCGGATCAATCTGTCTAATGATTGCCTGCCAGTCTTCAATTAGTTTATCTTTTCGTCGAATGTTCTCTTCAAACATCTGCTGATTTATTCTAGTAAAATTTGCCACAGTCAACTTATTGATTAATTCGTCCCATGATGAGAATGTTTGGATATGTGGTAATTGATAATAATCGGCGAACTGTAACCAATAGCTTATTCCTTCTATCGAGAAGACATCTTCTGGTGAATACGGATGATTAGAATTAGAATGTTGTTTTGGCATATCGGAGAAATTCAACGAAGAACCACAATAAAAACTATCAATCAATGTCCGATCGTAAACAAGTTTTAATTGTACGAGAAAGTTTATTGACGGGACAAACATCGGAATTCCTAATGCGTATAATTCTGTTATACCATAACTTAGAACAGCATACGGTAAAATGACAACAGCACGATGTTGAGCTATTTGTTCGAGTGTATAACGACCGTACAGACTCTTCACAGTGGAAAATACAAATGAAGCATTTTTCGATCTTGCGCTTTGCGTCATGTTTTCTATGAAATGGTGTGTCAGATGTTGTAATGGTCCAACTAAAATTTCATTTCTTTGTCGTGTAAATTTGGTTACATTGAATGCATACCAAAGGGAATTTGCTGGAAGTAGAATAGCATTTAAACCTGTATAGTATTTAATATATTCTTGATCTTATCGACCAGCCGCTGCGAGAAAATGTTTCGGTTGTTGAGTTGATCGAACCGATTGCTGGAGATGTTGAATAAGTCGGTCGAGTTCTGGACGTGTACATCGTGCTAATGTAAATCGATGCGCTGGTAACCAAATTATCGTTCGATTGAATGGCAAATAGACTTCACATAGAGACATTGGAAATGAACAGACAAATGCATTGATACTCAACATAGTTGAGTCGTTGTGATAGTATTTGAAGAATTCTCGGGTATCGTTTTCAGTTAAACGGTCACTATGCGATCGATGTGTTTGCATTAAACGAGCAAGTTGATGTTTTTCTTTGAGAAAAATGATATTCGGACGAGTGAACGCTTTTATGTAGGGATTTTTTCGTCATACATGATCGGCGACGACTACAGTTTGATTGAGTCCTTGGAGAAGAGTTGTCGTATCGATTCGACAGCCATCATGATTATTAATAATCCAGATTTTCAACGATGTTGACGGTTTCTGTATGTACACAACATTTTCATATTTGAAAGTTGAAATAAATCGGAATGAAAGTAGTGAAATAAAAACGAATATTAGATACAAAAAAAATACGTGGATCACACTGTGTCATGATATAACATATAAATGTATATTCTAATGACTAACAGAAGAAGTCATTTTTCATGTTGATGATGTTTTATTGAGGTAATTGTGCATTTCAAGTTTCATGCTTATTACATCCCGATAAGGCCTTTTTTATTCGTTTGTAATGTTGATTCAGAGTTCACATACAGATGATACTCGGTAATTATATGAATGTCGTAGCAATTACGAGTTAAGACACGAAAAGAAGAGAAAAGGCAAGATTTATATCCGACTAAATGTATAGCGATAGTCATAATAGAGCGCACTTTGATAAAAAAATATCACAAAAGTTCTGCTCCAGTTGAATCCCCATAGATGTGTAACTAGATATTTCTTGTTTTATTTATTTATTTATTTCTGGTGTTCACATTACTCCAATTTGAGTGCGTACTTTGTACTTGATTAACAATATTGTTTAGCTGCTGTTGCATTTGAACGTTTTGTTGATTGAATTGTTGACAAATTGATGTCAAGTCTTTCAAAACTGGAATTACTTTGTCTAAATTGACATTTGTCGGTGAACTTGTTTTCACAGACGATAATCGTTCATTCCATTTACTTTCAAATGCATTCATCATCGATTCTAATTGTCTACAAATGAAAACATCGATTATGAACATGAAATAAAACAAAAGAAATCATCTTACTGTTGTTGTTGTTGAAACAAGTCTTGGAGTCGTTGTTCAGTCAATGGTTTTTGTGAACAATTGGAAGCATAATGTCCTTCAGTGCGACATCGATAACAGAATGGTGGTTGATATGTTTGAACTGGACATTGTTTGCCATCGATGAGAACATATCCTTTACTTAGAGCTGCATTTGCAAGTTTGATCGATGTGAAATCAATGCGAACACGGGCGCTGACTTTTCCATCTTTATCATGAAGTCGAGCGACTTGTTCGACACCTAAGTAATTGTGTCTCAAGTCTCTGATGATTGCATCTGCGTCTGCATTTGTTGGAACTTTTGATGCAACGATTGACTTAGTTGGTTTTGGCTCGGGCAAAGGAGAAGCATTGAGATTCTGCCGAGGTGACTGATATTTAGAAGACATTGCATCAACGAGAAGGAAAGCTGTATCATTGACAAAGTGCTTATATAGCTTTCGTTACTGGAAAAACTTGCTCAATATTAACAAGAAAGGTGAAACGAACGGAAATTGTTGGTGACACGTATAGTAATTTCCATAGTATCATTGGCACAAATCAATCACGTCATTGTAACGCTTATCTTAGTGATGACGTAACAGAAACGAGAGGAAGTAGTGACTGAGTCATCACTAATTTGTGAATTGAGAACATACCATTGATTCATTTTTGGATGAGTCATTCCTTAGCATCGAGCTGATTTCGCGTAACCCCGTCGTATTCTTATTTTTTTGAAGTGTATTACAGACAAAGTATGAAAGGAAAGCAAACACAAAGGCGCGACATCGATCATTTATCCACGTCTATGGCTTCCTTAAATGAACTCGATGAATGCTTCTATTCAGTATAAGGCGATTTCATGAAGATAGATTCATTCTTTTCTTTCAAACATTCGGTCTGCACTCGAGAATACTTTGATACTATTGTGATATACATAAAAGGTAGCACCGAGATTCAAAAACTGCAATGAGAATCGTCTAAAATCTTAGGCCAACAATGCTTACATATCCCACTCATATATTTCTGAACAGAAAATATGCCGAAAAGCACATAGTAACGCTTGAAGTTAAATATAACGTTAATAAAGTCATACAAAATTCATTGGCAAAGTCTTTGTCCTCTATGTTGTGCGTTTATTTTTGACCAAAGTTATTAGCTGTGAAGATGAAATGTGTTAGTGAATATAGTATAAGATAAGCGCGAAAATGAACGAAATAATTGTTTGAATCTGACGTTTTTTCAGCTGCCTATTACTAAATACGTGACTGTCACCGACTTGATAAAATTATTTACAGTTGTCTACCGAGTTTTGTTGCACACTGCATAAGAGAAACTGTTCAAACGATACACTTTTGATCTTTCTTTGTTGTGAATGTGATGTTTTATAATAGATTCGATGATTTCTGATGGATTAGGATTATGTTTACTTAATGACAGTCTGATGATCTTCGCCGAGGAAAGTTTTTTGACCGATCATATCATAGATGTAAATGACATTCTCATCCGTAACTGGAACTGCTTTCGATTCTTTTGATTTTGGTTGATTAGATAATGGTTTAATATCACATTTGATACAATTTTCAAAAATATCTTCGCAATATTTCTTAACAACTATGTTCCGAAAGGCAAAGATTTTTGTACTCCTATATAAATCAGAAAATAATGACATCATTTTGATCTGGAATATTTTCTGTTCTATGTCATGTTTTAAATGCAAATATTTCGAGAAATCTTGGAAGAGACTTTAAAAAATAACATCAAATAATATTATCAAACGGATATAAAACAAATTTTCATCCAATGATATCAACCAAAAACAAAGTATTCCATATGTCTCAAAATCTTTCACTAGCTCCGCTAAGTTTCCAACAAAAGAAATGTGTTGCTCTCTATAGATAGGAGTCAGATTTCATGAATATTGTCTATGACGGATAAGCAAAACAATGTTTTCTCGACTATTCTGTTACTGTGTACATGTTATAATTTCATTCATTCTTGTTCAATCGCAATTTAATCTTTACTATACTGATGAAGCATATTCAATTGAACACAGTTGTTTACTAGCCGCACAAACTGATTTTCTAATGAACATTCCGGAATACAGCACAATGTATTATTGCTTAAGTGAATTATCATCGAAATTCACAATTGATAAGCAACAATCACATCCGAATTTAACTTTTGCCGAACTTTCGAAACGAAATATAACTTCTGAGCAATTGCATAAATGGTCAACGCCAATCGATCTAATTGAAGATTATCAATGGTATTTGAATCAATTATCAACATCAAATGATCTGTCAACATTAGAAAAGAAGATTTATATGAATTGTTCGTATCCTAAATTTGGTTTGATGTGTCAATACGAATTGGCGTTGTCGAAATTTATTGAAAATGCCAGTTTAGCCTACACAATTGAACAATTGTACAGAACATTCAAATATAATTCTGAGGAATTAACATGTTATACACATTTAACCTGTGAATATCGAATCCAATCATCATGTTTAGATTGGACGGAGGTTTGCGATGGAAAAATCGATTGTTTAAACGATGGAGTCGATGAAAACCATTGTTGGCAATTAGAAATTAATCAATGTCAAGATGATGAATATCAATGTAACAACGGACAATGTATTCCATTAGAATTTTATAAAGAGTTTACATTTCGTCGTCATTGTCTTGATAATTCGGATGGAACTTATGATATATTACTTCATTACACTGCACTTGAAGACTCACTATGTTCACATTCATTTCTTTCGCGTTCTTGTTTAGTAGTACGTACGGATATTTTGATGAAACGAATTTATTCAATGAAACACGAGTTGATAACAAATGAGTGTTGGATGGCATTCAAATGTATCCTCAAAATAATTAAAGACGATTTTGTTTTATGCGAAAAGCTTTGTGAAAATAATCAATGCAAAATAATCATTGAAAATCAATGTCCGGAGTTATTGTATATTCCAAATGTTCCGATTTTTCTCAACGATACTTATTTAGTCTATTCAAAAAATGAAATCAATCAACAAAATATCTTTCCATACGTTTGTTCAAATCACATTCATTATGAGAACCATTCCGATGAAATTTTGAAGGTATTTTTCAATAATCAAACATGTTTTCGTTTGAAAAAAATCCCAGAATCTTATCAGTATGCCTTAGAACAAGACCCGGTAACACGTAATGTGGAAATGTATTTTTCATATTTATTTCATCGAAGTCATATTTCAATTATTAATTCAACTTCCATCTATTGTAAAGAGCCAGAGATGTATCAATGCATGAGATCCGTTAAATGCATTCCTGCTTTTCGTTACAGAGATAAAATACCGGATTGTCCTTACTCGGATGATGAAGAACTATACAACACCAACGACGATTTTGTGAACAAACAACCAAAGCACACGCTGTTCAAATGTCTCATGTTGAATAAATGGATATTTTTGAGACAGTTCGATGATAGTTATCCAGTTTGTAGTGTAGAACAAATAGAGCATTGTGAAGATGAACCGAGAATAGTTGGACACGATAAACATATTCTATCATTCCAAACAATATGTGATGGATATACTGAAATCATTGAAAATGTACTTAGCGGTCAAAATATGACAGATGAAACGGAATGTCAACATTGGGAGTGTAATAATTATTACACAGCTTGTGATCAAATATGGAATTGTCCAAAAGGTGAAGATGAAATTGGTTGTCCTTCAGATTCTTCATTCAATTGTTCTGCCAATTCTCATCCATGTATCGCAGCTCATGCATTTCATATGATATGTTTGCCTGTTGAACAAGTCAATGATGGACAAATAGATTGTTTAAATGAGTATGATGAACCAAATATCTGTCGCCGTAATGAAAGATATATCAATTATGATCAACGTTCAAATCTTGATATGTGTACGAATACGGGATGTTCGTGTAAACAACGTCATGCAACTTTTTTTGTTCAAGATGGAACAACAATTTCGATAAATAAAATGGTTCTTCAACCAACGGGCAATTGTCGAGTTCACAGAAATAACGAATCGTATGACGTCGTTTTGGATTCTCTTCTGAACACAATGTTTGGTTGTATTGACAAGAAACTAAAATACTTTTCAATGAATGGAGATCAGAATGAAACATTAATGTTAAGGAGTGATGATATTCTCGTACCTTTGATTCATCCAACAACTATTGAAATGACATCTGAATATAATTGTCATCGTGGAATTGTTGTCTATGTTTGGATAAACCAAACTCAAACATGTCTTTGTCCGCCGGGTTATTACGGTTCGCGATGTCAATATCAAAATCAACGAATTAATCTGAAAATACAATTTCGAGCTTCATCAGATTCTCTGCAAACATTATTTGTTATTGTTATTTCACTAATTGACAATACAACAGAAAGGATTATTCATTCAACTGAACAACATAATTATATTTCAATGAAAGATTGTAACAAAAAATTTGAAAATTATTTCTTTTATTCAAATCGGTCGAGTGATTCAACAAAGAAATATTTTCTTCATGTTGATATTTATGAGAAAATATCTTTGAATCATCGAGCAAGTTTCCTGTATCCGTTAAGATTTACATTCCTATCGATGTATCGATTGTCATTGTTGGTCAAAATTCCAAGACGAGTTGAAAATTACGAAAGATGTTCGTTGAAATCTTGTCTCAACGGGAAATGTGTGAAATATTCGAACGTTGACGAATATTTTTGCCAATGTGCCGAAGGATGGACAGGAAAATTTTGTCAAATTAAACACAATTGTATCTGTTCATCGGACTCTTTATGTCTCGACAAAATGGTCTCGAATCGATCGATATGTGTTTGTCCTTTGAACAAATTCGGTCCTCGATGTTATCTCATCGATTCCGTGTGTGAAAACGAAAACAATCCATGTCAAAATGGTGGCCAATGCATTGCACATAATGATGCGTTGATATTTCAACGAAAAATTGTTTGTATTTGTCCAAATGGATTTCATGGCGATCGATGTGAATCAAAGGATAATTTTCATTTCACTGTGAGATTTCATGACGAGATTATTCTTTTTCAATCAATATTCATTCATTTTATTGAAATGATGAAAAAGGCGAAGCCGATAAGGACGACAATGATCCAACCGATTCATCATTTCCGGCAAAGAACAATCGAATTTTTTTGGTCACAAACTTTTCATTTGATTTTCTTTGAAAATTTAAACAACAATTATTATTTACATTCTTCTTTGAATAACAAAGCAACAGCACGAAATTTCACGATCACAATCGATCCCATTGATCGTTGTCCATCAATAAATGAAATATTCAATGAAACTTTCATTAAGTTTCATATTCTTCGTCGTATAAAATATTATCATCTACCTTGTTTGAACCATTCATTAAATTTATCGTGTTTTCACGATGATATTCATCTATGTTTGTGTTATCAACATACGAACAACAAACGATTAGCAAATTGTTTCGAGTTTAATCATAATCAAACATTCGATTGCTCAGGTCAAAGTGTTTGTGAACATGATGGACAATGTTTTCAAGATAGTTTACGATGTCCAACAAGATCGATTTGTGCATGTCGTTCTTGTTTCTATGGAAGTCGATGCCAATTTACAACAAGCGGATTCGGTTTATCACTTGATGCTATCTTAGGTTATCACATTATCCCAAATTTGACATTTTCTAGTCAATCATCGATCGTTAAGTTTAGTTTACTGTTAATTGTCGTTTTCTTCATTGCGGGATTAGTGGATGGTATTGTGGCATTGATGATATTTCAAAGGCGAAAGATTCGAGAAGTTGGTTGTGGTTTGTATTTGTTAGGAACATCGATGACAAGTGTAGCTACAACAATAACATTGGGATTGAAATATTTAATATTAATTTTAGCGCAGATGAATGCTATTACAGATAAATCGTTTTTGAAAATTCAATGTTATTCATTAGATTTTTTTCTTCGAGTGTTTCTTTCTCTTGGTCAATGGTTAAATGCATTTGTTGCTATTGAAAGAACAATGACAGTTATTCAAGGTATAAAATTTAATAAGAAGAAAAGCAAGACGACAGCTAAATTAGCTATGGTTCTTCTTATTCTGATGATTATCGGTACGAATGTTCACGATCCATTAAATCGGTATTTGATCGAAGAAGAAAATAAAGATTTGAATGATATCAAACGAACATGGTGTATCGTTCGCTATTCGTTACAATTACAAATTTATAATACAGTTGTCAATTCTTTTCATTTTTTCCTACCATTTTTCTTGAATTTATCTTCAGCTATCGTTCTTTTAGCACAACTAACGCGTACACAATCAAATTTACAAAAACAACGAACACGAAAAGAGATTTTCTCCGAACAATTCCAACAACATAAACATTTATTTATTTCTCCAGTTGTTTTAGTTATTCTGTCAATACCACGTTTAGTCATTTCATATGTATCCAAATGTTTGAAATCCAATAATGATTCATGGTTGTATCTTTGCGGATATTTTATTTCATTTGTTCCATCGATTGTCACATGTTTTATATTCGTTTCACCATCCAAATTCTACAAAGAAGAATTTCGAAGAACGATGGGCCATTATCTGTCGAGAATGCAACAAGGTGTCAGAGATCATTAATCAAATTCGACCTAGAAATCCTGCATTTTCCCTGCTTTCGTTGCTTTATGTTCAAAAAATCAACGCGTGATGTTTTGTGCCAACTCGGAATAGTTCTAAAGTTCCTATAAAATCAGACATTAAACAGAAGACTTCATCACTGATATTTACAATCGAATGAAAAGACAGCGAACCCTAACTTTATTTCGTTGACTAAAAGGATCAAATCATCAGGTTATACCTATGCAAAAGTTTTTGAATAAATACTGCGGATATCAATCAATTGAAAATGCGTTATCTCTTATGTGTAAGAGCCCAACATGTCGAGAACTGCATGATGCGTCTGAGGAACTTCATAGCTAATACAAGATATAAATTATATTCGAATTTTCGAGTGAGCTACAAAACTGTGAAGACAGAAAGCTGCAATGAGAAAGTCTAATCAGCTGTTGGCACGTGTTCACGAGATGCGTTATCACTTCGTCGATTAAGTATTCTTTCGTTCAAACACGGACGCATCGTAGTCAATGGATACGACTTTGAGTAAAATTTCGTAAACTCTGATTTAAACTAGCCAATGTGATTGGTGTTAAATGAACAGTTGATGATAGTGCCGATAATCGTCCTGTAGTAGTGGGTCTAGAGGATGTAGTTTGCGTGTGAAATATCTCATTCGATGAAAGAAATTGTTTTGTAATTGTCAAACCATTAACAACGCAAGCACTCAGTGCCGAGCGGTACAAATTCATATCAGCAATATCATACCTAATAGAAAAAAAAACAACGAAAATACAAGATCGTATCAATTTCGCCAAGAATGTTCAAACCATTCTTCTGTTGTTTCATCAAAGCATTCTGCATTTGAGATTGTTGTTAATCCATTAAATCCGCCAATAGTAAACAGAAGATCATCGAGAACCTATAACTCTACGGACGTAAAGGACATGAGTTCAGTATCAATCAATGGATTACTTCAATAGCAAAATTACTTCTTGGATGAAACATATCTGCGATTGGCCGCCATGTATTCATTGTTGGATTATATCGTTCACCTGTACTAAGTCGTGACGTTCCATCGAAACCACCGATTGCATAGATTGACCCACGATAAGTAATTACTCCTTTGTAGTGCAAGTTCGATATAAAAATCTGCATAAAATCAAAATAACTTACCAACGCCACTTCGTTGACTACGCATCGGTTGAATCAGTGTCCATTGATTGGTTATTGGATTATAATATTCAGCAGTTTGCAAACACTCATGTCCATCAAAACCCCCACAGATATAAATCCGATCTAAAACAAAAGTATTTCTCAAACGAACGTAGACACATCTTTCTTCGTTTACCGTTCAATGTACATGCAGATGCGTCACTTCGTTGCATATGCATTGGACAAATAGGTGACCATTGGTTTGTCTCGCAGAAATATTTCTCTGCTGTATTCTGCCGAACATGACCATTGAAACCACCCATTGCATAAATCAAACCATTTAGATAAGCCACACTAACATAACAACGTCGCTCATTCATTGGCGCAATTTCACTCCATGTTCGATTGATTAAATGAAACATCCGACATGAATTGAAGCATTCTGTACCATCAAAACCGCCAATAATGTACATTTTATCATCCACTGTAATACATCCATGATATGCACGTGGTGAAACTAGATTCTTGCTTTGACTCATCGAAAATCATTCGGATAAGAAAGATTTACTTTGTTGTGTTGATATAGTTGTCCATTTATCAGCTCGAATGTCATAAGCTTCGAGCATACTTGTTGCATTCCCACCCGACCATCCACCGAACGCCAAAATCATTTCATGTGGAAGTCGTGGACGAATAAACGGACAATCGACATCCGAACTCTAGGTGTCACAAAATTCAATATAAAACTAAACCTTATCTCCTTATTTATTTATTACCATCAACCCCTCATTATCCAATTTATATAACAATCGAAGTGTTTCTCCGATGATCGGTTTACATAGATCATTCTCTTTAACATACGAATGTTGCCTAATTTGATTCAAGAAAAACGACGATGGAACCAATCCTAGACGTAAATTACTAATCAATTGTGCGATAAACTATGAAACAAAAGTAGACAGAATTGAAAGGTAAACGAAGCAACAAACAGCTTTTCGTTGTTCAGTATTATGATCAATCCATTGTATACACGCATCAAATAGATTTTCTTCATTTCGTACATTTAAATCGTCATTCGCAAGCAATTCGAGTAATTGTTCTATGGAAAGCTTGAGAAATGTTCTGTTAGTTTTGATCATATGAATAAAATTTCGCCTAGAAATGAATATTTCTTGATTTTGCCATCGAATGCAATTCTTTACATGAGATATTCGTAAGTTACATTGAATAATTTGGAATCTGAATGAATCTTTGCAAAATTATAGAAATGAAAAATATTTTCATTATTAATATTTAACGTCAAATATTCACAACAGTATTGAAATAAACTCGTCATCTGACATAATTTCGCTGCTTGAATCACCTGATTAACATTCTCTAATGTTAATACACATCGACGCGTATAAACATAATCAAGTAAACATTCCAGAGTACCACGATCGATATCTAATTGTAAACATGGATTTTCATTACTTTGAAGATTTGTAAATGCCATACGAAGGTATGAACTAGAAGCTAAATTTTTCTTTTATTCATTGAGAATAATGTGTGTTGATTGATGACATACCAGCTAAGATGAATCGATGCACTGGATATTCGATACATTGTTGAGTGAATTGGTTTCTAATGGAAATTTTTGCATCGCACAAGAGATTCTTTTTTCTTAGTTCATTCAAGATTTGACATGATTCAGTTGTAAATGCACATATACGTGTTTTATCTCCTGATTGTGCATTTGAATTTGCCATCCGAGATGATGAAATTTTTCTCCACTCGTCTAAATCAAATGGACTCTTAGATCGCACTCGTTTTAACATTCTGTCGGAAGGTTGCCATCGGCCAATGTCAAATCCATATCATTTATAAACAGGAGAGTATGAAGAGTAAGTGACTTTCTCGTCGAAGAAAAAAAGCGTATGTAAATAAAAAACAAACTTTTGAAGTGTGAAATTTCGAAATAAGAGAAGCGCCGAGTGAGTTTTCATTTTCGTTAATTTTTATTATAGTATAAGTCTTGCATTTCAGTAAGGACAAGATCTATATGATGAATCAATTTGTGGAGGATGAGAACGTGGTTGACGGGCAGATCGAATGTGCCTGCTTTCTAGCAAGAAGTCATATCAATACGCTTAATGTCCAATGTACATGTAAATTTCCCCTTGAAGACGTCGGATAGAGATTCGGGGGTAAGATAGTCGTGAAATAATGAATCATTCGAAACTGAATCTATTGCGATGGGGTTATTCTCATTCAGATATGATACATAACGAACCCATACGATTTACTCTTCACTTGTCCATTGACTTTTAAAAGAGAAATTGATTTTTACTATACTAATCATAATGAAATAACTATATTGAAGCACAGGATCTAAAACAAAAGTGTAAAAGATATGTCGAATCGAGAATAATCTATACATATGGTCAATGTCAAACGAACTACGATATTGTCAGTGATCTACTGAAAAGAAAATGGGATAGCTCATGTTCTACTTTCTTCAAAATCTTGGATAATACCAAAATCACGAATGCAATTGATATTTATTTCATATTTCACATTTAACTGTGTTTTGTTTCGAATTATGATTCACTTCCTAGTTTCCTCTCATCGTCAAATTACGACGCAATCGTTAGAAGGCCCGTAAAATCGAATTTTATTGTGTACGGTGAGGGTGTCAATACACGGTTTTATCCAAGTTTCTGAATCGTTTCGCCTCATTAATCACTTTTATTTATCTCAAAACTTCCAACTTAAAGGTAGATGAATGAATCAACATATCGTTTACCTCCTTTTTTTCATATGCCTATATAAGCAAACGTTTGATGTATTAACTCATTTGTTTACTGCTAAGTACAATTTATTCCAACTTTATTTTGTTATCTATTTATTCATCTGATCTAATATAATGTCTTCGCGTTCACCTTACCATCATCGTATGCCGCAATCCAGGGCTTATTACCATTCTAACTACTATCCGCCTCCTTACAATGGATCGGCAGAAGGTTTGAAAAGACCTTTTCTTAAATAGAAATTCGTTTTTCTCTGTTAAAGGATATCCATTATATCCAATGAACCCAGAAAATAATAACGTAGAGTCGCCATATAGCTTCTGGTCTGGTGTGAAAACTACGGGAGGTATTATGAAGATATTCATATCTGCTGGAAGATTGGCTGTGGCAATTTTTGACTCTGTCTCATAAACTCCAATTATATGCGACATAATGGATTATTTCAATAACCTTTTGAAATATTTATTTATTTCTAAATATTTTCCGATCTATTATTTAAAAAATGCTATTGATTTGATAAGCTATAATGTGAAAGTGAAAATAACGAATGTAGTAGACGTGCCTTTTGAAAACATAACTCTTTTTTTTTAAAAGTTTACTCATATTCATATTTCTGGTTGATAAGCCACCAGTTCACATGAAAATCGTCTGTAGCGAAGAAATATAGATGAGATGATAGTTGATAGTTCGAATTAAACTCGAGAAAGTTTTCGAAGTAAATATTTCAAAGCCCATACACAATAATTCTCTAATGCTCGCCATGTCTTTTTTCTATAAATAATTTAGAGATTATTTTAACCTTGACGATAAGCACATTCATCACAGCACCATAAAAAACCGACTTTTCTGCTTTTTCCTCTCATTCTTATCGACGAGTCAACGTGCTGCACAAATATATTACTCTTCGTCTGTTATTAGAGTATCGAGCAAATATCTACAATGGATCGTCTTCAGTGTCCAATTTGTTTCGAAGATTTCTCGAAAGAAAAAAAGCCAATGATAATATGTGCAAACGGTCATTCAATGTGTCAAGAATGTTTTAATGGCATAAAATCTTTAAGTAACCCTGAATGTTCGATATGTCGTGAGGGTTTATTATCGGTATCAATAGTTAATCGTGATGTATTGAACCTAATCGATGCTATCTATGAAATAATGGCTGCTATACCTGTGATAAAAGATGAAGAACTAACTATAGAATCAAAACCGTTCGGATTTGGTGGTAGTGCTGATGTATTTCGAGCACAGTGGCAGCGTCAAACTGTTGTTGTAAAACGTTTGCGGACTGGTACCAATGATCCCAAGCAACTAGAACAGTTAAAAGGAGAAATTAGTATTCATGTTGGATTGAGGCATCCCTGTATAATATCTTTATATGGTTATACACGTAGCGGAAATGGAAAAGAACTTGTTATGGAATATGCCGAACGAGGTTCGTTGAATAATAATTGGAAAGATGCTGATGAGATACAATTAATAAATTGGGCACTTGATATTGTCGACGGTTTACAATATTTACATAGTCGAAAAATTTCACATCGGTAAAAGATATCTTATCTAACTATCTCAAAAAGACCTACTTTATTTTTCATAGAGATTTAAAACCTGAGAACATACTCATCACTAAAGATAATCGTGCTAAACTATCCGACTTTGGCATGGCAAGAGTATTAGCAACAATTCAGCATAATACGGCAGGAAGTGGTACACCAGTAGGTATTGTTTGCTTTGAATTCTTTCATTCATTTCTCTTTTTTCATATAGAAATATACAGCTCCCGAGTTATTTGATGCCGAGACGAAATATGGCTCTGAAGTTGATATTTATAGTTTGGCATTGATTCTGTATGAAATGTTTTCGAAGAAAATTGCTTTTGAAAATCTCACTCCTTCTCAATTGATTTTTGCTGTTTGTATGAAAAAGCAACGTCCTGGATTTGATTCAACATTTCCAATTAAACTTCGAGAAAAAATTGAACCTGGCTGGTCGCACGAGCCAGCAGATCGATGTAAACTCAATGATTTTCTTCAAGTTCTCTTACAAATGAAAGATCCATCATCGATCAGGCAACATTCAGCAATCGCAGAAACAACTGGTGTGACTATGCTTGAACAAGCTCACCACGTTCAAAAGAAATTGTTAGATTACTCACCAATCATTGAGATGCAATGGGCAACTCAAACTGTTCAAATAAAATCACTCATCGAAAACATGGTCAAGGAAATGCGTCAATCCTCATCGTTCTCTAAAATCTTTCCCGATACGATTATTAATGCAACGCTACAAGTACCTAAACATTTGTTTGTCGACATGAAAGTTTTTAAAAGTATCACTAAGATCAGTGATGACAATCAATGTTTAGCAAAGATTTATCAATACAAAGAAGCACTTCGTGCAAGTCAAGAACAGAATATCAGTTCAACAGAAATAACTTGTACACAACTGAGTTTGATCCCACTGAATTCCGGTGATCGTGTGTTATTTCTCGGTGCTAAAGCAGGTTATATTCAAACAATCGCTGCACAAACAGTTGGTTTTCAAGGACAAGTATGGATATGTTCACAAGATGAACAAGGTCTTCAACATATTGGAAATGTTCTCAAAGATCATGTACCAGCCATTCTCAAGCAAATTATTACATGCGTTTTAGTTAAAAACGTTCAAAATACCAATGATGTGAAGCAAGCATTAGAAAAACATATCAAACCAGCTGAAGACTATTTCAACGTTATTCATGTCTGTGGCGCAATTCCTCAAGACTCACTTGAGACGTTTGAAAAGCTTTTGAAAATCGAAGGACAGTTATTAGCACCCATTAATATTGATGAGAACAACCAAAAGTTTACTATTCTACATAAAACACGAGATCATGGCACTGGCCAAACAAAACTGAATAAACGAATTCTACATGATTGGGGGATCATATTCGCTCCTGTTCTTTAGTTTTATTTGAAAATAAAATATTCGATTTTAGCTGTTTGCTGTATGACAAATTATTATCATTTTCTCGAATAGCGACAAAGACGAACGAAATGTCTTGAAGATACGTGCACGAGATTTCGTTCCTACTTTCGAATGTTGCTTGCCATCGATTTTATTAACATTAATTTGCACAATACCGTTCTATCATAGGAGAAGATCATAATACGTCAGTGAATTATTCTCTACCAATCCAAACACGAAGTTTCAAACTGACTTCCACATAACCATCATCAAATAGTACATTCCATTCTTATGTTAATTCTTCAAATCGAGATCACAGACTACCAGAGGGAAAAAACGCTCGAAAATGGCATTGAATACTGATAAGTTGGGTAATCGTTTCATTTAATAGAACAATATATATAGTCTGTCAAGATCACAGACCATTTGTGAAATATTGAGAAAATTTTCACAAAAAACGATTCAGTTCAAACTAATTGTCAAATGAAGTGCCATTATCGGGAACCAATTGTAAATTTGTAAGCTTGATATTCAAAGTTTGGCATAATTGATTGTTTTCATTGCTGTATAACATAAATAAATCCTTCGAGTTCATAGATAACGATGATAACCATGGAGCTGCTTTTGAGATCTTTGTCAAAAATACAGACAAGTTTGTTCGGTGCATCTTCGGAATACTCAAAGATTTTATATTTGCTAAATCGATAATCGTTTACAACACTCCGTTGTATTTCGTCTCGAACAGTTTTGTATTGTCCGTCTTGTCAAATCTAGTGTTTGATGTTAAAACGAGAGAACTAGCAGATGGAGTACGAGATTGTGTTTCTTCAAATTTAATATTAAAATCGATTGATATGTGCTTAGCATAATTAAATCGACGATATTCACTCTTCGATTGATCAAAACTTGTCTCACTGTACGGACTCAAGGTGCATGAAGGTAAATACCAGGGTAATGTATGAATACATGTTTCACTGTCCGCCAAGACATAATCTGTAGTGTATTGATACTCTTTTAGGCCAAAATCACTTTAAAACTATGCTTCCCTCAGCATCGAGAGTACCAAAGTAAAATCGGAATACATTTAAATTTTGTAATGATGATGTTATCAGGTCTCGCCGTTGGCAAGCATGGTATATATGGAGATCCTCGTAACTAGATAATGTTAAATGCTCTAGATTTCGTGTACGTTGTAATAACTTCTGGATACTTTCAAACGGATATGAAAATCCATCAATATTCAGTTTTTGCAAATGAGCAGCACGACAGAATCATCTTCATAAATGATGTCGCACGTGAAGATAATTCAACAATGGAAGACCATGAAGGATTTGGAATAGCTCAGAAAAATGTTCGTATTGTATTGTTAGATTTGTAATTGGTAAGTAGACAACCCTTGGAAAGAATATCTTAATAATCGAGGGTGAGAGTGCACAATTGAATACTTGGATTCTGCTTTGATCGGTTGCTGAAGAAGCAAAAGTTGAGATTTGTAAATGGGCTCATATCTTTGTCATATAAGTCAGTTTGCTTTACATTGATTAACCGTGTTAATTCTTTGAGAACGGTTTTTTTCCTGTATATTTCATCATAAGTCAATGTGCATTTCTATTCTTTAAAAGAGCTTTATAAAAGCGTGTTCCTATACAGAGAGTAACATTGCTGACAACGATTCGAGATGATAAAGTTCTTTTTATCTAAAAGTCAGTTTTCTTATTATTACCGGATATTTGAATAAAATAACCTAAATACAATCGAAATTATGCTGAAAGACTCTCTGATAAATGCTTTAACAACAACTAATCTCATATAGAAATCTGTGTGTTTTGAAATGTCAGTAAATCTCCTAGGCCCCTTAAGGAGCCAACCAATTCCAAAAGATTAAAACCCGTTTTTAGCAAAATCAAATTCTTTTCCGGTTTTTGGCAGGAAAAACGTTTTTCTGCTTTTTTCACCTATAAAAGTTGTGTCTTGGTTTTACAAATAGGTTTGGCACATCGAGAGTATCGATGTCGATGTGTAATTATTTTTTTAAAAAATCGGAAATCGAAGGGGGCCTCGTTAAGTGTTAAAAAAAATTATTTAAACTGAAGACAACCACAGAAATAAAGCGAGATGGGATGAATTTTTCGTTGTCCTGCGGAGCTCTGGTATACATTGACAATGACAGAAAAGACTTCTTTTGTACTTCAATATCAATCAATTAATGAAATACTGTTTGAGATTAAGCATCAGGACATATCTGTGAATGGTTTTGATGTTTGAAAAGATCAGAAGATATTCGAGCAGTTTCTGAAGTATTTATTCTTTCTTTTTCAAATAATAACAAAAAAAAATACACAAATTCCTTTCTCTTTCACAAGTCAGATGAACAAAAAAATTTTCGATTGCTTTATTTTCTTTGTAAAATTTTCTCGTCAACTTTTCCTAACGTTGTTCGGTCATTTTGCACTAATTCCACGACGTTCTTAATTCCACGATGAATTTCTTGTAAAATATCCTTGATTTGTTCGATTTTGTCTTTATCAAAACGTAATGTTTCATTCGAATGAAGAATTGATGACCATTGAATTGGAGCTAACAATGATGGATTCATACGTATTTTCATAATTAAGTCTTTTATACGGATGTCTAATGGTAATTGGGAAAGACTCTGTAACGAATGAAGATTTGTCCAAATTTGAATTTCTGTTGAAGTTAATTTGGGTTCATGTTGACGACGACGACATTCGAATTGGATTGTTGCCTAAAAGGAGAATAGTCGATTGTAATCGGATAGAAAAAGTCTTTTTCTTTCTCACTTTGAGAATTCGATGTGAATATTCAAGAAGATTCGTTTGATAACGTTTCATCGTTAAACGGAATGCTTCACATTGGTCTTTGACACTACGCAATTGTTGACGAATGTTCTCCAGTTGTTGTTTTTGATCTTCATGTTCAATAAATTGAGATTTCATACGATCACGTAAAGCTAAAAAAAAGTGAATAGAGTTTTCCAAAGCTTTGTTTTCCCCATAAACTTACCTTTAACACCAACAAGAGGTACGGGAAGGAGTAATTGTGGTTTAGGATTTTCTTTTTTAGCCTGTTCCCAAACGAATGCCGTCATACCTGGGGGCGTGGTTTCGAGGTATTGTTTATAATCTTGATCATTTAAATCAGTTCGTGCGAAAACTTGCACTATTCCTATTGAGTCTAAATGTGCTTTATTTGGATTTACCGGTTGTCCAAGAGTTGTCGTTGCAGGCGCCGGTGGTTGAAGATAATTGACAATGTCTGATGCTTTATGTTTTTTTACAACTAACGTGCCAGGTTGTTTTTCATTGACAACAATTAACATCTAAATATTGAATTAAGAGAAAAAACACAGTTCGAAAAAGAGCATTACTTGAGTACGATCATCGGCTAATGGTGAAATTCCTTCGAGTTCGATGACGCAATTTGGATTATTATGAAAACAAAGTCGATGAAGTGATTCAATGCATTTATCTTTATTACTGACAACATCAGCTAATTTCTGATTGATAATTAAAGCAACAAGACCATCTTCATCACGTGTTCTTGGACGAACACTATAAGAGTATGTCTAAACCAACGACAAAAATTTCTTACGCAGTTACATTTGTAAAGGAGAACAGTGGTTGTACTTACCTTGAATATGTGATAAGGTAAATTTGCATCAACATCGTAAGTACCTTGATGACAGAATGTTTTCCCAGTGCCATAGAATACTTGGAGGATATTCCATTTGAGGAGAATTTCATCTCGTTCATCATTAAATAAACGTGGTGATGTCAACGATGTGATTAATTTTTCTTCGGGACGAACTACACTGGGAACACCGATGGCTGGTTGATTACTTGTTGTTGTAGCAGCACCAAATGGTTGTGTTAAACCTCCTCCGATTGAAAATGTTGGAGCTGTTGCTGTTGCTGCTGCAGCAGTTGGTGCTCCAAATCCAAATGAACCAAAGGGAGCTGATGTTGTCGTTGTAGCTGCTGGTGCACCAAATCCAAATGAAGGTGCTGAAGTGGTCGCAGTTGGAGCACCGAATGTGAACGACGGAGCTGGAGTACTTGTCGTTGTACCAAAGCCAGGAAAAGCTGGTTTTGGTGTTGTGGTGGTTGTCGTTTGTGTACCAAATCCAAATACAGATGCTGAAGTAGTAGCGGCAGGTGTTGCAAAACTGAACGGTGCAGGAGTAGCTGTTGTTGTTGCTGGTGTACCGAAAGTAAACGGTGTCGTCGTTGCTGCTGTTGTAGTAGCCGGTGTGCCGAATGTAAATGGAGTTGCCGCTGCTGTAGTCGTTGTCGTGCCTGGCGTTGTACCAAATAGAGTTGGTCTTGTTGCTGAAGTTACACCAAATGTAGTTGCCATCTGAAAACAACGAAACAGGAGAGTTCTATTAGACGAAATTTCAATTTTTGAAAAGAAAATAAAGTTGTAAGAAAAATAGACAGAGCAAGCCATTCTTGTGCTTGAGTAATCATTCTTGAACTGATTGGAGCTATCATTCATCCTGTCAAATGAAGAGAGAAGGTGAGGTCGCTACAAAACTGTCTGTTCTCTTTCTCTTTACATAATAAAACCCATAATTTCTACATCACATTTTCGAAAACTTTATTTCAAATAAAATTTCCATACTATTTTAAACAAAGCCAAGCTACAAGCGTCTTGTTTTTTCATAACCAAATTTCCACGAAGTTTTCAATCAATTGAATTTGATACATTTTCTCATACTTCTTCAATCGTAAAGAATATTTCATTAGCCAAGGAGATAAATCATTTGACGAAATATTCTCCAATATCTGTCCGTTCACGGCAACTACAGTTAAATGTTGACATTTGTCTACTATTTCACCTAAAATTCTCCCATCGATAACATCTTCAGTTTTATATTTGATCTTCAATGAATGTATTTCGCTAAAAATTCGTGCTAATTGACAAATGTGTTCGCTGGTGAGTTTCAAATCACATCGATGCCCATCAAGATATAGATGAAGTACACGTGGAAAGACGATTTCTTCGTCGTTAAGTTCGAATAATTTCATTGCACAGGGAAGATCGAGACATAAGGTGGTAAGATTATGTGCGGAGTGGATTAAGTATTTGAAATGCAACCAGTTATCGATCCGACCGAATATTGACAGAATTTCGAGCGATTTCAATTTCGGAATTCGTTCGGTAGTGGATGAAACTGAAAAACTTCAATGAGTTAAGATTTTTTTTCATTAAGAAACCTTACCAGCTGAAACTGATTCGAAACCATCGATTTGAATCGTTAAATCTTGTGTTTTCCTACAATGCTGCAAAATTGGAAATATTTCTTTGAGAGTTTTCATTCGATTAACATATAAATATTGCACAATCCTATAAACTTGATCACCCGATCGAACTCCAAATTTGTTCGTCAAAGTCGACTGTAAATTCAAAAGAATCGATGGATATGGCACTGTATGAATAAAAATATAACTCCTCTTCTGATCTTTATTGATTGTATAAACCAATCGATGAGATTTCCAAGAATCGAAGAATTTCCGTGAATCGAAACAATAATCGATTGATGAAGAAAAGTACACGGCGTATTGAAAAGTTTTCAATGACAAGCACTGGAGAAAATGTTCGCCGTAGATTAATCGCTCGTCGATTGATGTTAAAACTAATGAAAGATGTTCGACAGTTGGAATAATTTGAAACAGTTCCCGGAGATTCTCTAATTTCGAATACGATTCAATAGCATCAAGTGAAAAATGGGTGAGACGTTGGAATGGAAGGATATCTTCTTTCATTATGCCAATTTCTTCAATAATAACATAGAGACGACGGAGATTTGGTAGGAAATAAGCTAAAGAGTTCAGATGATCGGATGTTGAAAGTGAAAGATTCAGTTCGATTAAATTGGAATGATTTATTCGGAATTTCTTGTGATTAAGTAATGTCATCGAGTAGCAATCGGGTTCGAAAATAATTGTTTCGATTTGTCGATTTTCTGAGACAATTTCGAATAAATAAGTCGAATCATCGATGCTAGTAACAAGCGAATGTGGATCATTCGGCTGCCGTAAACCGCGAATGATGATTTGACGGAGATTCGTTAGTTTGGATAGGCGACTACTAACAAATGGAAATAAATCGAGATTTTTCCAATCATCTAAGGCGAGTTTTTCTAAGTTCGGAAAGAAATTCTCCATTTTAAAACTAAAACTTTTCAGAAATTCATTCTGTTGCAAACGATTGATTGTCAACGATCGAATCTGATGACCAATCTCAGGTATAATTTGTGAGTATATATAGGTAAACTGTTGATAAGTCAAGCGTCGAAGGATCACATATTGACAATAATGAGTGAGTGTTTGATTCAAACGAAAATTGAGGTTATAAAACGAATAAAGTATATGACCACAATGAAGATATCGATAGATCTCCAGGAGAATCTCATCTGGGAAATATTCAAATTGAAAACAATCTCCCATCTAGAAGACAATCGCGTAGTTGAGAACAATAAATTTCACAAAAGCAATGTCATCAAGTTTTAACGAAGAAATCAACTTCTATTTTTTCTTTACCAAATATATTCGATGACTCATTTTGTTAGTGTCGCTGTTCTATTCCGGTGGAATGGTATTCAACCGATTGACAGACAAAGACATCTATCGTTTAGGGAAGAAAAACACTTCTGAATAATTTATACTTAGTCTGAGATCTTTGTACCCGAGTCATTCAACATCTCAAGTACATTTAGCTCAGCATTCTAAGTTATGTGTTTATTTAAGGAATCGTTTTGTTACATATTATTCAAATTATTCTCTTTAATTTTTGCGAAAAATATCTCGAATAAAATATCGTAAACATGTGAAAATGGAACAGATATTTTTGCATGTGACTTTTTTCTTTTCCAACATATCTTGTCGGAATGTGCATTGTCATAGTTATATCGTTGAAATTTATCTTCGTTCGAAGTTGCTTATTTAATTTGAGACACTCTAATCTAAGAATACGATAGAGTCTTGAATGCAGTATTCACATGATCTGATACGGCATCCAGTACGTTTTCATGACGTGATATTTCGCGTTTCAAGACAAACTTTCCTATATACGTAAATGTCTTTCAATGACGATTACCGAACGAAAAGTATGACGACGGAAGAAGGCATTATATCATTTATTTCGATATTGTTCTTTTCCTTTGAAATTAGTCATATTTCTGTTGAAACGATTAATTACACTAATATTGAACTTCCTTTGCGCAAAGCAAATGCATTTATCCTCATTGACTCTCGAACTCTATTCGTCTCTTTGGAGCAAAGACAACCCACTCAACTCGTTACATAAAGGAACCATAAGTGTCATAACTTGGCAAAAAAATCAGGAGAGAAAGGGTGTGTCGCGGAAAACGAAGAACAGAAAGAATGAATGAAAAGAGCAGCGAGTATCTGCGTCATCACGTATAGCGAAGGACGTCCAACAGTAACCATTCGCGAGAGAAGGAAAGAACGAGAAAAATAGAGAAAAAGCCTATTTACATACTGACGGTGTTCTGATCGGCATACTATCGTCGATGTTTTGGTAGAAAGAGAGAGAGAGAACTATAGACGTAGACATATATATATACTTGAAATCCGTTTTTGTATGTCTAACAAAGAATTTCTATGAGAAAAACGCTTTTGGTTTCTTAGAATTATTTTATCAAAATAAAACTTTCGGAAAAAAAATTTCTATTCAAATGGCCTCTCAACTATTCAGTAGGACACGTCCAATTAATTTCGATGCCAATCCTTCACCAGACACTATGTATCACCTCCCAATGAGTCCCAGCGAACCTGGTAAATTCGACTTCTATCGGTAAGGAATTTTTCTTGAGGAAAACACTTTCGACATTTTCTTTTACTTTAGAGTGCATCTCGCTAACCAAGCTTCTCAAACACACACCGATAATAGCGATAGTAAGTTGCACTCCTTCAGTATAAAAACAACGCGATGAGTGATAGAATTTCATGAAAAAAGAAACGATAAAAAACACACTGACGTCATGATGATGCGAAAACATTTATTGACATATTTTCCTCTTCTCTTTCGGGTACTTTGGAGGCTCGCGCAAACTGATATGTCGATTACAATAGTCTATGAATCTCTTTGTCTTTTTCAGCCCCAACGCTTTCCGCATCTTCTTCAACTGCAACCCGCCGTTGGACTCCATTCGCAAACATCGCTCCACCTGATCAATCGAAAGGTTTCTTATCGACGAATACGTCGTCGTTAAATTCCACTTCCTCAACACGATCACTTATAATGCCAGCGATGGATTCTAGTGTTACTTCTAACACTAACCGATCGCAAACAGAACCAATTCCATCCACCTCCTCGTTTTCATCATTGACTGATATTGTCAAAAATGCAATGAATAAGAAACCTTCAACGACTAATGTTCAGCCAGTGCGACGACTAGTTTGTGGTACAACACTATCAACGAAAGATCTTAATCACTTGTCTCCACAATCAGCGTAAAACTGAAGATTTATCTAGCACGTTTTCTATTTATTTATCTGTCAGATAGAACAAAACTCGCTTCTTCGTCCTTACCCATATTTTTCTCTTGCGCTTGTCGCTTTTCATATGCTAACAAATAAATTCTATATTTTTTTGTGTTGTGTTGATTCTATTCTTTCTTTTAATAATGTAACATCATTTCCACATGAAAACTTTCTTTTTTTTTGAATTTCGGTGAACAAAAACAACTCGATGATTGAATAGAAGATTTCATTCTATTCTATTTTTCATCAAAATATCTTATCTAATCATGAAAAACAACACCTGTCGACGTCAATAGACACAAAGAACCAATAAAAAAGAATAACCGTGGGCGTGTTTTTCATAAATTGTTTCTTGAATATTGTCACTTGCATTCAGAATGAACCCGTCATTCTTGACATGTCATTGCGATCTAATACGCCAACTAGATTTGTGTATATACTAATCAGAGCAAACATTCTGTGTAGAATCGACGTTTGCCAGTCGCTATTTATGTAGAACAAATGATTGTTTTTGTTCTGCATGTCATTGCTGCGATCTTATAATTAGATGAGAAGATTATTCCATTTGGATGCATGAAATGAAAAAAGCTCGCTGTCTTCCGTTTTCTTTGGACGAGATTAACTGGAAAGGAAAATACCGGGAAATCATGATTTCACTGAAGGCATGATTTTTGTTTCTTTTACCAAAGTAAAACGTTAGTTGACGGCTTTTCTCCCAGCAACAGAGTAAATGAACAACAAAGAATTTTCTTTTCAGATGAAGTTTCTCGTTCTTATTCGTCGAGCATTGAGATTTAAGAAGAAAAATATTCTCAGAGGAAGCAAACGCAGTTCAGTGGAAGAATTTCATTTAATATGATTGACATACAATCGAATGATCACCCTAGACACCCGTTTTGCTTCTAATAGCTAAGCGTTGGATGATCAAACGAATGAAAACGTTTCGCTTCTACATATTTCAAACGGAATGCCGCATCATGAATAGAGTTGTGGAGATGTGCATCGTAGGAAAGTTCGACGCATAATTAAGATGTACCCACATTCAAGAAAATCTATTTCAGGTACAAATTACCCTCAAAACATCGTTACTGTCACATGCTCATCTTTCCTATGGAGTACATTTTGAATAATAAATGAGTATGTGTAACAATGATGCGCAGCTTAATTTAGTTCGAACTGCTGGATGTCACTTTCACGGAAGTCGAGATCTACTCGAGGGCTTGAAAGACAAGCGTTGGTACACTCGAATTCAGTATCGAGGCCTTGAATAGTGATACATCGATCTCATTTGGTGCGATAATATACATTGGAATTTCAAGATGAAATTCAATTCTACTTGTTCTCAAGGAGACTCATATTGGCTTCAAATTTCAATTGAACATTGATTTTGATTCTTTTTTTTTGCAATAAAATTTCCTTATTTCATCTTCGAGGTTATTTCGATTACGAACGTAAAATAATCAGAAGAAAATATTTCGATTCGCGAAAAAAGTCTATGCAAACATTGAGAATTTTTTTCTCCTTGTTTGATTTCGATGAAGTTAGTTCCGATAGACAAGCAATGTCTGATTGAAAAATAATAAATTTTGCGCCTTTCAACAAGTATCTGCCATTCGTCATCGCCCGTATAAGAAAAAAAAGGGGCCAATATAAGGTTTCTCTCATCATCAATTTTGAAAACTTATAATGAAGAAGAAAAAAAACCATTGACGGTATTCTTTCTTTTCTTCGTTCTGCTTTGTGGACATCGATGTGCGTTAGTAGCGACGATGGCATTACTATACATTGAGAGCATGTATTTACACGAATAATTGAAATTTGCAAGTAAAAAAAAAAGCGAGAGAGAAATGAGATTACCGCACATACATTCGAACATCTGGTGAACAATTGTTAACTACGTGTCTTTTTTCTCGTTTCAAAGAAATGCCATCGAATGAATCTTATCAACGATATCATACTGCAGCAATAGGACAAAGTCGACGAAGGTACTATCATAATTTGACTAACATTTGAGTTATACATATTTAATCAAGAAAAGAAAAGACATGCTGTCAAATAACGATAAATAAATAAGTTATATGTCATTAGGAGAACCAAAATACTGTTAGTTGGGAATTTTGAAAAGAACAGATGTTTATTCTATTGAAGGACTTATTGAACACGTTTGGGGCAGGTACAAAAAAAGAAAAAAGTTTCTCTCTCTCTGCTTATCTTTATTTGATCCGTACATTGACTGGTCTCGTGTCTTAATTTCTCTTCTCTCCGTCTCTCTTGTTGATGTTGAAACGAATAGAACTAATAAAAAAATTAATAACTTAGTCGGTTGCTTGGTATCTGGATGTCTGACAATTTTTTCTCTTCTCAGTTCTTTTCTCTCTTCCATTTCTCTTCATTTGTTTCACTAAATGATTCTAATGTTCATCGTAGTCGACGCATGTCTGATGTGATAGCACGTTTTTCTTCTCGATTCTCTTCACCATTCCTCTGCGGGATATCCTGTCATCTTTACCGATTAAAGTTTCACTTCAAACACATTCTTATTCACTTTTTCTTCAGACTTCCATTTGATTCCACCTCCACACGCATGTCATCAACCTCAGTATTAAAACGCGCAATTCCCAACACCTCCCGTTATCCAACATCAAACTATCATCATGATATATTCCTTGCCAAATCGTCTTCGTCATCATCATCAAGTAAAGACGATGACAATGACGATGAAGTCAAAACTCTCGATGATACTATACCTGAAAACGAGTCAAATATTCGCCGAAATCCGATGTTAAATATTCGTCCCAATAGAAAAGAGATCGGTGGTCCGTTGATCCAGGAATTACTTCAATCGAATATGAATTTGAAGTATGTACTTTGAAACAAGGATTTCTGTTTGATATGTTTTCAAGTTGCTACTTGATCAATTTCATTAGAAAGGAGATTCGTGATATTCGTCGACAAATCAAACATGCTAATGGATCAAATAAACAACGAATTGAACGTGTTATTAACAATCCAAGTTGTTCACGTCAAACGAAGGTGAAAAGTAAAATTTTCATCAAATGAATAAAAGAATTTGATGTAAATTCCAGATTTTCGATGACGAAGAAGATTGTTCATTCGCACCGCCTATTGAAAATGATTCCTATGACGATTTATTAACAAACAAGACTAAATTACAGTATTATAAAAATGAAGCCACAGTAAAGGAGATGTTTGATGAAAAGAAAAGAGAAATTCTATTAAAATATTCTTTAGCTTTACAAACAACAACTCGATCAATGTCAAGAAACGATCGTTCATCTCCGAAAAACCATTCATTCAATGGAAAAACGAATTGAACACTTGTAAAGTTGCTTTCTTTTTTTTTCTCCAAGAATCATTGAAAATTCTTCTTTTAGAAAATGTTCTGAAAATCGACAATTAGAAAACGCATCTCATCAACATGAAAGCTATCCCTTAACTTCGAATAACAATACAGACCATCGAGTAAATGACATTTCTTTAGAAGAAAAAAAAGAATGTTTAATATTGCATTTGAACATCATTCTGTCAAAACACTTTTCCACTTCTCATCATTTCTTCGAACAAGTATTCAGCGGAATGAGAATCTATAATTCAACCGACTAGTTATATGTGACATATCATTAGCGGATATTCTTGATAGTTTTCCATGAAAAGTTCGCTAAAGATTCACTGCACTTTCTTCTCTCTGTTTAGTTCATCCATGAACTGTTTCATTTATGTATTAAATACGCTCCAAAATCATCGAAATTGAAAACAAATGTTCCCAGTCACCAAGATATGAAAAAATATATCCGACAGACATTTACAGATTTCATTCGTAGCCCATCATCATCGTCGTCGAAAGTAAGACAATGTTAATTTATCTTTTCAAATAACGATTGAGTACGATAAACAGCTTGTTGAAGTGTTTCTACACGTTGACGAATTTGAGGTTTGATTGAAATTCTTCCTTGTCGTAATTCAAATGGCATATGAGTTGATGAACAATGATTTAAATGCAGAAAAGATGTGACAGAGTATTCTTTGCAAATGTCTATCTGAATATTCGATTTGGCTATGCGACGGCCAATGATTGAATTGGGTAAAGGTAGAACATTGTTAACTAGTGGATGTTGTTCATTCAACAAGCAATTTTCTTGCATAATCAAACAGAAGTTCATGCATCTATTTAGATAAGCGCCAATCGAAATTATGATAATGGACATTTCGTTTGTAAATGCTCGGATCGAGTAAAAGCTGACTTTTCCAATGAAAATTTTTCTAAAAAGAGTTTCTCGTAGAGCCAAACCGACCACCGTCCAACGTATCAGTATTGCCTCAATTTAATTGAACAATGTCAATCATTATTTGATGTTACATGTTACACACAGTTATCAACAGCTCTGAATGAATTGTACTATCGACATGGAGAATTGGCGAATTTTAAACGATCGATCGCGAGTACACTTGGGATTACTGGTGAGAGAAAAACTAAAAGGACGATTGAAATCAATGCTGTTTGTTGTAGAAAGTTCCAGAGTAGTGAGTTGTCCGAAATTAATTAAAACTCTACAACGAACGTTAGACGATGCCAAATCTAATGAATTGATTACATTTAAAAAAATGGCAAAAATCAATGATATGAACGAGTAAGGATGATCAATGATACTTATAAGATTGAATTTGAAAAATCATTTTTAGAGCGATTTCGAAAATTCGTTCGTATGATGATTTCGTTCCTTATTACCATCAATTCATTGAACAAATGGCCAATCTACTTGGTAAATCATCTTTCGAACGTCATTTATTCGAATAAAGAGTGAATTTGTTCTTCAGAGGTGTCGAAAGGTGATGAAATCATGCCAGCTATCAAAACCCTGAAATTACTTGCACATACGGATAGTTATCGTCCAAGTACGACTTCTCACAGTTTGACACGTGCATCATCATTGAACAATCACAAAGAAACTTTTGAAAAGCCTCTTACTCAATCTCGTTCACTTCGCGTTCTTTCATCAAAATCCAATGATGAAAGTAATACCGACAGTTTAATGAAATCACATACAGAAACTAACGAACGAATTCATGATGAAGATTCGCATTGAATATTGTTTATGTATTTGTTTGTGTGAAGTGTAGAAATAGGTGCTTTGCTTTTTCAATTAAATGTATTTTCTAAATGGAATTCTTTTCGGTCAATTTTTCAGAAAAAGGAAGTGTTATATAAGATGCAAAATTGAAGGTGAAAGAAAGAACACTTGTGATGAATTGAATGAATTATAAACCAACACGCTCGTACTACTTGATTAGAAGACATAAATATTCTTTTTTTCGAGGTTTTTTTTTACAAATTTCATTCCCTTTTCAAGTGTTTCAAAAATTCAATTCTGAATTTCATTTTCTGTTTTTTTAACAAAATATCGGTCAGTCATTGCAAATTTCATAAGCGTTGTTTTTAAGTGTATTGCATTACCATCTCTATCGGAATAGTGATGTAAAGCCATTCGATATTGAAATGCTGAGAATGGAACTCTAAATTTTGAATGAATTGATTTCAGAAAAACGTTCGATCTGAATTTCATTTAATAGGTGTATAACATTCGAAAGGAAATCTTATGGCAAGACGAGAAAAGGGATACATGAACAATGGAATACGCAGCTACATTTTTTCATCATTCTACTTTGTTACAAAAAAAACGAATATTTTCTCGAGTTATTTACACGAAAGAAAAAGGAGAAAATTGATTGTCGACAGAATAAATACAAATGTAATGACTATTACGAATTCCATTTCAAGCAGAGGTAAAAAGAGGGCAGAAAAACGTGAAATTTACGATTGTAAGCGTTTCAGTGTAATTGTCTAGAATAAACAAATCGAATTCATTGAAAACAAAATTCCTTCGACTTACTTTGTCGTTTTTCTTCTTCGTTTTATCACATTTCTTCTTTCCAGAACAATTTGGTGAACCAATACGAGACTGGTAGTTTTCTTCGGTTGATTTTCGTGATTTCGATGAATGAACTCCATCCCCATCAGCGATACTACTAACAAATATCAAAACTTCGATATTTAACACATCTGTTTTCTGATTTTCTATGGTTAAAGATCGTTACCTGATGCATTCAATAGTAATATCATCCGAGGAATCTCTTGGTCTACTACTATTATCTTCCACTCTACATCGGGTTGAACAATCATGTTGAAAACCTGAAAAAATGTCTTCAGTTTTTCATTGTTTTTCTTCCGAATCTTACTTCTATTCACATGTTCGTCATGTAATCGACGTTCTGCTACCAGACTAAATAAAACGAATGAACAAAGGAAAGATTATTCGATTTTCTATCGTTACTCTCTGTTCAATTCGACGCGTTCAAGTCGTACCACAGGTCGAACTTTAACTGGTGTATCTAAAATTTAATCAGATTTACTCGATGATCTTCTTTCGAATTTCATTCATTACTCATTTCTTTTTTTACTGACGATTGTTCTTTGGATGAATTGGAGTCATTTTTATCAACGTCGGTTTCGACTCCATCCAATTCTGTTTCACTTTTAATGATTACTAAAGAAAATCAATTCGATTTTGTAAAGAAACAATTCGAAATCGCACTTTTTTCTTGTTGAAAGATCGCAATTGCTTTTTGAATTCTCTCTAAAACAGGACGAATTTGTTCTAGCGGAACTAAAGCCGATGTATTTTGTAATAACAAAGCCGACGCTTGGTGGACAAGTTCTCGATAAATAGCTAATTGTTGTTCGAATATCGACTGATAAAGCGTCAAACTATTTTGAAGTTCATTGAGAACAACTGCGTTTTGTTTTTTTTCTTCTTCGTAATAAACGTCATGAGCATTCAAATGGTATAAACATAATAAACGATCACAATGTATAGTACAACGAAATAAACGAACTAAATCATGATTTGCCGAGGATTGGGCACATTGAGGATCTTCACAATGGCCAAGGGCCGAGATCATTTTTATCTAAAAGTGAACAAGAGACATTTTCTTTTGTTTGTACTGACTGAAGGGAAGTTGAGTTCATCTTCATTTAACATACCTGAATGTCGAAAGATGAGATAAACAAAGAATGTCACAGGGAGAATCGATAGTGGAAAACATCTTTCACGTGAATCATCTTTATTCGTTTATGAAAAAAAGATATGACTTATGTGAATCGAACTAAGATCGAGAGAATGAATGACAATAAAGATTTATTTCGTATAAGAATGGAAAATAATTTGTTTATTAGCGACATCTGAGTGGATAGATATTTTGTATAGAAATCATTGAACTATGACGGATGACACACATCGTGACCGTTGTCATGCTAATTAAACTCACTGAAATGAACAGAAAAGACGACAATGATGATTTCCTCACTCAGTTCAAATAAGACAGTTATGCGTCAGATTGCTTGTTTGACAAACTGTTACATTCATTTAAAAGACGCAGATGATTTTACAAAGAAGAAGAATCGATTTTTTTATTTTATGTCATTCATGACGCATCTGAAATAGTAAATCACAGAATTGTTCTACGAGAATAGAAAACTTTATCATATTTTACTACTTTGTTTAAATTTGAATATTTTATTTTAGTTGTGCTCAGAAGAGTCTTGGTTTCCGATGATGAATAATTTTAATGTCAATGCTAATAGAAGTGAGATAAATGACGAAGAGTTATGTGTGCGAAGGAGTTTGATGTATTTCTTTTCGGCAAGAACAGGAAATTGATTTAGGACAGGAATATTCTTCATGTTCAATCTTCCAACATTCGAAGAATTCATCATTGGAAATATTAACCGATCAGATAGATTTTCATATGTGTTAATACCAATTACCCTTTGAGTTACATGGTCGAAATTCGGACTTTGTCATGAAGCATTAAAGTTGAAAAATGTAACTCCATCGCGTTATAGATTGACTTAAGATATGCTATAATTGTAAGTTATGTGCATTTTGTTTGAGATACTATTGTTTTACTGTGTAGAAAATCGAAATGTATGTATTTCTTAATATGTTTGATTTCATCAAATGCAGATGATGTAACACCAGTTGATTCCAAATAGATCTGATTTCGAATTGGATCAGATTTCAATTGTTTCGAAAGAATTTTCGCTAATGAATATCCCTTTGTTTGAATCGAAGAAATTCGATCTTCATACGTCGGATGTTTTTAATCTTGTTGAAAGAAACCGATCCGTAGCTGATTTATTACTCTTAAAACTAAGTAAATGATAATGGTAAATAGCTTTTTATGACAACATGTACTAGAAATGCGTCAGGTGAACAATGGTGATCGGAACTGGTGCATTCTTTACTCAGGATTATACATCTAGTTTTCAAAAGTCAAAATATAAATTACAGCAATGTAACTGATCACATATAACAGAACTGAGTTCACTTGGACTACGCAGTTTAAATCGAACGGATTCGATCTAGTCCGTATCTTTGTCAACAGAGAATTCATAAACGTTGACGTAAGATTATAGGTCATATGTACTGAGCAAAATCAATATAAACAACTACAACAAATAATGTGAGAATGTTTATTGGTGAAATCGGAGATTCTAAAAAAAGACAAGAAAGGAAATGACATTAATGGAATACATTCTCCAAACGTTGTTCCCTTCATTTTCTACTGACGGATAGTTTCATTTGGTATCACGATTGACTTTTTGATTTTCTCAAGTCGAGCGTCTCCCAGTCACAAAGAACTTTATTGTATTCTTCTTTTATTTCTATTAACGACTTTGGACGTTACCAATATCGACGAAGATTCTCTCGAGAAACTTCTGTTTTCTGCAACACTCAAACTGAAATATTTTTGGGAAATCATTGATATATTAAACTTCACGTGATCGAAAACTGAATTGGATAAATATTGCTTAGAAAATCTTTCAATTGGATCAATTATCGACTGTGTTCCCAGTGGTACAATAGAAGAAGGATTATATTCAGCACTTGTTGGTTAAACCGGTATAACGGAAGATGAATAATCTTTCAATGAAGATTTTTGAGTAGGAACGAACGATGATATGTTAGATTTATGAGAAAATATTACAGTATATTGATGAGGTATCAATACAATCAGTAGACCAAGTCGTTAACATGAAAAACACCTGATCGATAAGATGATGGTAGACTCGGTTGATCGATCCATGGTCGAACAATCCGGTCTGGAACCATCATCTTGGGATAGTTGTTGATAGAACATTCCTAGATGGATGGTGATGTGATCTACGAAAATTCTCACTGTTGCTGGTCACATGCGAACATTAGAACACTTGTGATAACTTACACTCATTCTCGAAATGGAACAACACTAATGTTGCTTTTGAAGTTGGCAAACGGCGTTTTCTCGCTAATTTTGGATTTAAATTTCGAACGCTTCGCCGCACTGCAGAAGCAACAGCTGTAGAATTGCAATTAAAAATATATACATTCCAGTTTTTTGGTAAACATTAGATGATTTGTTTTTTCATTAGAGAAGCGTTTGGTCTGGCAAATATGGGATAAACAAATCTATACTCTGATTGCACGCGTGTAAACTTTCTTATTCGTCGATTATTGGTCACTGTTTCTGTTATCATTCAATTCTTCCATGACCTGCCCAAGGATGACGAAATTCATCAGTTATGACAGAGAAAAACCCGAATCGATGTGACAAGTAGTATGATTAAAGACTTAACACTAGTTTGATGTTTTGTTTAGCTCTTGATACAACATCTCAGAGCATTGAACTTGGCTTAGGTCAATTACTTTGAGATAAGATATACAAGTAATATTGACCTATACGTCGCAAAAGCTTCGTCAAACTTCGTTTCGCCATGTTTATGCCGGATACATTTCCAGTAGCATGGTGCTTTTATGAATGCGCGGGTGCAAACGTCAAAGTAGGCGTGGAATGGAGAAGCTAGAAGAGTCGATGTAATTTTCGACAACTAACATTGTCTGATGATTCTGAATTTCCATATAGCCACATTCACACTAATACACAATTGCCATCATCCATGTTTTTACATTTAGCTCCATCATGAGACAAAGAAAAAACGAATTCATTGTTCTGCTCAGTGGTTTTCGTGAAGGATCAAAATAATGCATTAATGTAGACTAAACTGAGTTATTTTTATGTGTTTGTTAAATATTTGTTTATTTTATTACTGAAAGTTATGTCATATGATGAATTGTTCATCATCAAAGAAAGAAAATGCATAAAAAAGAACGATTTTAGATTGAAATTCGCATTAAAATCTATGCTTATTTCCAATATTTTTTCATAACTTCTTGACGATTTATTTCTTCCATCGTTGCTTGTTTAAGAACAAAATCAACTCGTTGAGCATTGACTTGATCTATCTGATTTTGAACTGTTACATATTGAATTGCTTTCTTGTATCCAAAGCTATTAACTTCAATGGCATATGATCCATCCGGGAGTAAGCGATAGTAATCTCCATCGAGATCTAGAAAACTAAACATTGAGCAAATACAGTTCTTTCTTCGAAATTTTCTTTACTTGATTTCACATCATGATCAATGTAATTCATTTCACCATCCTTTATGTAATAGATTTTAATTCCTGCATTTGAAATACTTTCTCCTTCTTCATTTTGAATTAAACCTTTGATTCCTGTATGAGTCTAAAACAGAATCAGAAAGTAACGAATTTCTCGCAAAGTTCTTCTTCTTACTTTCATCATGTAATTAATTAATGAATGTTGATTGTCATCCCAAAGCGATTTCAATTCTTTTCCAGGTGGAAATTTATCGCAGCCAAGTTCAAATGTTAATTCAAAACAATTACTTGCTAAATAATTGAAATCTTGCATTCCGCCACATACGGGATACCTGAATTAACAAGAAATGATTCGACGAAACATCGTGCTTTTTGTTCTCACCAGGCAGCACCATTGGTGATTCCATCTTTAAAGTGCTCGCCATCACACCGTTGACCTGGTGAACTCATTTGTTTATGCGCATAAGAATAAGCTTCAGCTAACTGTCTAAAATGTCATTGATAAATTAAAAATAGCTGGAAGAAGAAGAAAACTTACCGAAATAGATAATCATCAGGTGATCCGGAATATTGTTTGCGACTATTTTCCGAAGTATCATAGGGATAATTGGCAACAAGATCACCATTATGTAAATTAGCCGACAAAACGAATGGACTTTGCATAATCCAAAAGGCAACTGCAATCGTTTCAATTTGATACTAAAACAAGTGAAGAGAATAGTCTATCCATGCATGCCGATTTCGAAATCACATACGGGCTTTTTCATACAATCATGATCTTTTAATAACAAACGAAATGTTTCCATATCTAAATGATTGTTTTTATGGTGTGAATGGTGATTATATGCATAAATAAATTTGTCTAGATTAGGAAAATTTCGATTTAAATCAATATCTCTAGCATTTGCACGTCCCATAAGATAATCTTTCGCACCATATTCCTATGAAAAACAGCTGAACAATAAAGGTTTTTTTACGAGTTTTATCGTACTTTCATCATTGTAGATATGTCTGGAAAAGCAAGATCTTGTGTTGTATTCCATGCATACTGAGCAGCAATCTCCCATCCATCTATAAGAAAAGCGAATATTCTTTTCCTTTTGCGATGAACGGTTTTACCTGGATTCATCGAAGGCATCAAATGAATTCGAGTGTTATCAACTAGATTTTGAATTTGTTCGTTTCGATTTTGATATTCTTGACAAAGGTATTCTGCTAATCTTAATAATAGTTCTCGTCCAACAACTTCATTTCCATGCATATTGGCTACGTATTTGAATTCAGGTTCGAGTGGTTCGTGAATTTCTGGTTGATCCGAAATAATAATCACGCGCAATGGACGATTTTCAGTTGATCGTAGTGGTAAATCATAAATATGTGTAATATCAGGGCATTGTGCATGAATGTAATCTAATGCAGCAAGCATCTCTTCGGTATTATGATGATTGTCATGTTTGAGACATCTATTTTGATACCGATGAGGTTTACCGAAGCAAGCAAAGAGAAGAAATGTTAAAATAAAGAATTTTAACAGATCAATTGATGATAAAATCATTGTATCGAAGGACGAACTGTTTTGGAATGGTTTTTATGTATCATATGACGCTGTGTGTGACCTACTGAATAAAGATTAATTGTAATAACTATCGGATACTTTGTTGTTAATTTGTGCAGTAAGAAAAAAAGAAAATCAGCAACGAAAAACAAGAAACCTATGTTTAGTTACGTAGGAAAAACTATTCATGCGTTAAAAAATATGCATCAGTAGTGTTTGATGTGGGTTGAGAAGTGATTGATTTGAATCATGAGACGCTGAGTTGGCAAACTGTACGCTCTGCTTACCTAGATTATTATTCATAGACAATGATCACTGAGAGTCGTTCGGATTTCAAGAAAAGAAAAGAATAGAAGTTTTATGAAGTAGTAAATATTTTTATTCATTTTGATTGGTTGATACAGTATTTTGACATTCGTATGACACATTTTGTCAATTCACGTGTTCTTATCTTCAATAGAATTCGTATCACACAGTTTAATAAAATGGAAAAATCGAGTTGATAAGTATTCTAATCATTCAGATATATTTGATTAATAACACCTTTAATCGTATACGAAGTAACACAAAGAGCCATTCTTTCGAATTCATCATAATTAATCGTTCCAATATTATCCTTTGATAAATTACTATAATCTTGTCTTAGATCCAAATCAACAAAAATCTGTTTCTTTTTCTGATTAATGTTCAAAATGTTTTTCCACTTTTCACTTTTGAAATAAGAAATGACATTTCTACCCCAAATATATCCATTGATAGTAATACTTTCGATAGTTGTCATTGTTTGAAGAAATGAAATGAGTCGATCGAATGAAACATCGCATAATGTTAAATGAACTCGTTTTATTTGATTCAAATTGCATTCGTTGAAAGTTTCATTTGAATATTCATCCCCGCGAAGGAGTTTCAATTGAAGAAAACGAAGATTTGGTAGATAGAATAGAATTCTCTTAACATATTCAAATTCACAATAAAAATTCCAATGAATATTTTCAATTGAATAGATTTTCGATTGAATTTCTGGTTGATGATAATCATTCGTTTCCCAATTCGCCAAATCTTTGAAATAGAGATATTTTAAACCAGGAATTCGCAACGCCAGATCAAGTAAATATGAACCTCGATCGTTATAACAAAGTCTAATCGATATTTTCTTGATATTTGTTAAGAAAGTCAATTGTTGTAAAAGATTTTCCATCCATTCATTACAATTCGATCCATTAAGAAGTACTGATCGTAAAGAAACCATATTGGATGTGTCAACATATTCAATTTCGTCAATGGAAAGCGATATGATTTGACTAAAATTAACTTCCGTGAGAATTTCTTTTGTTACGTTCGAATGAATTCGAACGTGAAACCGAAGCTGATCATTATTGAATAAAATTGAATCGAGTTCATTGAAAATATAAGCAAACGTATGTAAAAGTTCATCAACATAAAAATATCCGAATATTTCAAACCAAATATCTTGATGAAGATCAGTTAACTTCGTTCTATTCATATTTCTCGATAATCTAGAAAAACATCCCATGTCCATTGTTTTTCTTCAAGGATATCAAACAGTAGTTGACATGTCATTTTATTGAGAAAATATAATATAAATTCATGAAAACTTAGCAAATACAAAAAATAAATAACTTGTGAGATACATACCCAATTGTGTTCAATAGCGTGCAACTCAAGAATGTTCTTTTTCCGAATAAAAACACTGACGATTTATTAGAATTTATATTAACTAGACGTCCATTAGCATAGATTTTTAACAAAATTCGTAGAAGAAGACGAGAGAGAAAAAATAAATCGCTCGAATTTGTCAAGCTCAATAAAATCAATCAGTGAAAACAAAAATAAAAACAACGGCATAGATACAAGAGAACATGAATATGATATATTCAAGCATACTGTTTTCGATGGAATGAATGCCAAATGAAAATATCACATAAGATTTTATTCACTCAAAATAAGCGTCATGAACACGAGTTATTTCACGTAGGATCGACGTTTGCATAAGAAAACCACGAGAATTATATGTTACATCTTTCCACACTGCCATACCCTAGAACAGAAGAAGTCGAATATTTCCAAAATTTACTTGACGAAAACATACATCAGTACGTAGATTTGGAAATGATAGTATCGAATCGTAGTGGAAATTCCAGATTTCGGCTTCTACCCACGCATTGTCCGTATTTCGAAGATCATCAATGTATCCTAAAAAAGAATTATGTGAATTTCATTGCTTTCGACATGATGAAAAAGATAAACCTCGATAGATCATGTGATATTCAAAGTCTGTTGATCCTGTTGGATTGGTAGGTGAACGAGCGAATGATTTAAAATGCTAAACAAATCTTTCGAAATGATTAACAAGACAAAAAGAAAAATCCTTTACTTCAATCATATCACGTTCTTGTAGTGTTAAACTATGCTCAGAATCTTCATCTTGGAAGGCAAGTTTATTAAAGCTACGACATATAGCACCATATGGCGATTCGACACCAAGAATTTTGCCCTAACAACAACATTTGAGATCGACAATTCATCAAAGATCTTCTTACTCCTGGAAGTTTCCAATCGTTAGTATATTTATCTTTGAAAACTAACGCTTCTAGAATTTTCTGCCCGTCGACGTACGCGAATTGACCGCGATGCTTTTTCCATCGTGTTATGACCGCCATAATTGTCTTATTCGGTCCCCAACGTATCAAGGCACCACGACCGCGGACACCTGTTCGGCCCATTGGATTCAATGGAATTAACAATTGTGTATCTAATCGATAGACAAGTGGAGTTTTTTCTCCAGGAGCTGTCACCCAAGTTGTTCGATCCAAAATCATCTAAGTTAATAAAAAAAAGTGCCGATGAATATTTTCCGATAAAATCATACTGTGAAAGAGACAAACCTTTTTATCGTCTGATAATTCAACTTCAACAACTTGGTTCCATTTGGGATCGGCGACGGGAATCGTAAGATTATCTGATACAGTTGTGTCAGCGGGTTCAATCGCTCCGAATGTTCCTGACTGACCAATCGGTGTTGATGGCGTTACATAAGTGTCAACAACAGATTCAGGTTCATCATCATCATTCAAGCTTGAACTCGATTTTGGTATTCTAAAATAAAATCACCGGTATAATCACTGCATTTTCCAGTTCAACTAGTACTTACAGATTCGGTTCAACAAACGGTCGTTCACCATCTTGAAAGCAACCGTGTTCTTTAGGTAATGAGATTACTGTTGGATCGTATAGATCAAATGGAATCTGAACGTGAAGTGTTTGAGATTTCTCTTCAAAAGTTTCATTCAACTCACCTTCCATGGAATATATCTTTCTGTGACTGGAAATCGTGCTTCATTTGTATGAATATATGGTGATTCTCGTGATAGAATATGAATAAATTTTTGGCTCTCCGGTAGAAATTTATCTTCCTGTTGAATTGTGGCACGGATTTTCTCTAATAAAATATGCGAATCGATCATTAGTTTTTCCAGTGTCACAACCCGATCATTAATTCGTCGCAAAGATTTCCGTTGTACATCCATATCTTTCTGTACATTTGTCACACTAAATCAAGAGTTTTTCAAATTAAATCAAACAAATATTTGTGTGTTACTTGTTCGTCAAATTGTCCAATTTCTCTTGAACTTTATCTGCTTCTTGAGTTTTTGCGTAGAATTCTTTTGCTTTGTATTTCCAATACAAATTAGCTTCACTATCCTCCCAATTCTGTTTCGCTAATTCCTAAGAAGCATATGTTCAAGTCTCAAATGACTTCTCCCAACAAAATTCCCACTTACAAGTTTTTGTTTTTGATTATCAGTCACTTGTCGACACGGTTTACAATTTAATAAACGTCCTAACAAAGATCGATCTTCAGGAATTTCAACTGTTATATCATTCAGTCCACTTCGAGCATCATCAGTTGTAACTAACGGTGCTGATGAGTTCGGGTTATTGTTAGGAACGAGTTCATTACGGTAAACGCTAAATCCTGACGCACTTGACGAAGCCCGTGGGCGAGTGTTGGTGTTGTTCTTTTTATCTGAGTAATCTTTCAGTTTTAAAATGCATTGTCGACTTGCAGCAGATATGACCATACCTAGATAAGGAGAAAAGATTTGAAAAAAACGATCGTTCATCTTGATTGATATATGCGCCGATCGACAATTAGTGAAAAACTCAATGTCATCTGATTGCTATCGAATGTTTGATAGAGAAAGATTACCGATATAAGAAATCACGACGAATGGTGGTGGTAGACGTGGCCGTTTTGCGTATTCCATGACAATTTCATATCGATTGTACATCCAGATTTGTTCCGATTGACTTTGCACTCGCGCTCCAGTCAAACTAAACAAACAACAACGATTTAGTACATCAAACAAAAGACGTTTTCAAGGAAAAGGAAACGCAATAGCTTTACCCGAACATAGCCGTCAATAGTGATGTCAGAAAACGTTTTGCCAGGAAGAAATATTGAATAAGTAAGAACCATGCGATCCATGATGGTTGATTACATTTCGGTGAAGTTATTCCATAGCGATTATACGCATATATGTTATCATCTAAACGAAAGAATACTTGAACATGAAAATAAATGAAATTGTTCATACATTTAAATGATAGACCATGGGACAGACGTAAACATGAATATTCCTTTTCTGCGTCATTTGTGGAATTGATTGTGCATGGTAAATGTTGATTTTTTAAATCAGCCATTTCGCTACTGAATAACGCCATTAGACCACGGAATACAAATGCTTTGGTGAACAAATCCAAACCCAATGGGTAATGTGGATAAAGAACGGCTGTGATAGCAACACCGGATGAAATCATAAATATGACGAATAGTTGTAAAAATGTAAAAAAATCATCCATAATCTGAAATACAAATGTGAATGGCAGAAATGAATAGTATAACGATTAGCCTACCATGCATCGAAGTCGAATCATCATAGGACCAAGTTTTGGACTGATTGGTAAGAAAATAAACAGAATTCGATAATAATAATAGATCAAACCAATACCCAAGATCGCTTTTGCTGTTAAGATTTGACAAGCTATCAAACAAAACATCGATCTTCATACTGCAACACATTTCTTCTCTTCTTACTTCCGAAATTCCATAGACCAATGATTCGAACGATAAGATACAATGACAAAAATATCGTTTGAACAATTACTTCTAAAACTGCTCTTTGCAAAGGTAAACTACTTTGTGACTAAAGCAAATAATTTTCATAAAAACAAGCAGTTCCAAAGTGAAAACCTTACGCAATATTTTTCATATGCAACACGTGTATTCTCAAAAGCAATCGACGCTGTCCAAAACCAAACGATACAATCCAACAGAAGATTACCACACGACGGCCACATGACTGCCAATGTAAAGAATGCAAGAAAGACAATATAAGCAACAAAGTTTGTATAAAATTTCGTGATCGGTGCAGTCCAGAGAACTTTAATTTCTTCGAAATGACTCATGGGTTCTTCATCGGAAGTTGACGCTGGTGGTGGTGTGATGCTCTTTTTACGACCGAAAAGTTTCTTTCGGACACTTCTCGTCGTCCGTGAGAGAAAACCATTCTGAAAGACAGTTTTCGATGAAATTTAAGCTATTGAATTTTGAATACGTACTCCTTCTTGAATGCTGACGTCACCGACGTGTTCAGCCAGTCGTTGCGATTCTAAATTTGGCAGTTGTAAATTTGAAGAAGCCGATTTTTTTAGGCCAAAAGAACTCACCATGAATTTGAGGTTCGGCTTCTTTATCTGTTTTTTTATCAGTTTGCAAATCGCTGATTTTCTTTGGGGCAGGTGGTGCTTGACCAATTGGAGAAAAGTTGATCCAAAACCACATCGGAAAAACGAGAATTGCACAACAGATGATCTTTTGAGAAATCAAATGAATGTTTTCATCGATCAATTTTCCGTCTTCTTACTTTCAAATAGTCAGGACATTTGAACAAACCCCAGGAGAGCTCTCGTGGAGTAATTTCGCCATAGAACTGCCGCGTAACCCATTTTTGACAAGCAGCATGTGCCATGAATTCTTTATTTTCGGCATTGTATGCTAACTCAACCGTTGCCATATGATTCCAATCCTAAAAAACTCCCGAGATTCCTTTCGATCAAAATAACCAAGTCATCGTACGGGATGTTTCTCATCTAACATTTCAAAAGTTCGCATTGTATCTTCATTGAATGCTTTATCAAGAACACCAACTGCACAATCCGAAAATTCTCTACAAAAGTAAAGTATTTCCAAGGAGCTCAATCGAATGTCGAGATTTACTTTGCTTGTTTCATAATTAATAATCTCTGATACGATTCATGACAATACGGTGCTAATTTTTTGAACATCATACAACAAATTAATGCTAACGGAATCGGCTCAGATGAACGTTTCCAGAGAATCTTCGCTAATTGATGTCGATTCATCAATACAGCATAGATAATCAAATGTCGAAGTGCCTGAAACGAAAATATGGACACACGAAGAAAGAAAATCTCATCAGCCAACCTTCTTTTCTGCGCGTATTCTTTGTCGTTGAACACCTTTGTCTGATTTATCACCAAAATAGATTCCCATAGCATTACAATCCATTTCATGTTTACTGAAAAAATGACTAATTCCTGTTAAGCGTTTAACAATGATATTAAGGCCATGTTCAACGAAATTCGGTGGCATTTCTTCTTCATCCTATGACAAAACCGAATTTTTCTCCCAAAAATCACATTCACATTTGCAACTTACTCCAGTTAAACCAAGAATACCTTCGAGAGACGTCGTTGTCAGAAATTCTCGATCTTTCGCTTGGTTGAACAAAGCAACGAGTTTGTCAGATTTCAAATATCGATGTAAAACGAATTCTCGGTCGAGAAATAAATCAACAAAAGATTCAAGTTTCTTCCCGAGAACAGCTTTATCGAACAGATCGTTTTGAATTGTGTATTTCATATCATCGTCACGTTGAAAGATCTCCGAAAGGGCTAAATCAGGTAAATTCCAATCTAATGTTAATAAGAGATTTCGTTTTAATTGAACATTGACTTTGCTTCCCGTCACCGCTTTTTGAGCTAAAGGAAAAGAATAGAATGCAAAGTGAACAACTTTGTCGACATACATTGCAACAGAGCTGAGAGAATAAATTTGTGAAAATCATTTAACGATGCCGTTGCACTATTAACATCAAGAAAGGTCAAGAATTTCCGTTTGCCTTGATCGGCTTTTTTAACGATTGCAATAATATGATCGCGGATTTCATTTCGTTTGACATTATTATCTTTCAATATTGGATATTCTTCAAGTAATCGTCGTGCTAATTCAACTTTCAGATATCCATCATCGTATTCTTTGTCATTTCTAAAGTGAAAAGTTCAGATGAGTTTGAACAAGGCCAGTTGAATTTACTTTGCATTGATTTCTTCGTGCGCGAATGCAATGATATCAGCAGCTGATCCTGTGCCCTTTAGAATAACTGCGGGTACCTCTTGTTGGATTTTTCGATATAAAAGTTCGATTGTTCCTGGTGTTCCACGAACTAATGTACAAACCATTGGAAAACCATCTTCACTCCACGGAGCTGCTTTCTGTGCTGCTTCGAGTATAAAATCTGTTGAAGAAAAAGAAGGTTTCGAAAATAATATCGAGTTCTGTTCATACGAGTCGTAGCGGACGGGGAAACTTCAGAATTTGGCTGTGGTAAAACTTCTTGATGCAGAAATTGCTCGAAATGATCGCGAAATTTATTCGTTAAACTTTCAGCTGAATCGGTAAGCTTTTCTAACTGTTTGCCGCCAGTTTTATCTGTTGAAGCTTCACTTTCAGCAGCTTTTTTCGCATTAGCACCAACCGGTTGTTCACGAATGATAATAAAATGTGTATGATCGCTGTTTAACGATAGTTGCTCACGTTTTCGTGTTGGAACTTTCACTTCCTGAATACATCCGAGATAAACGAGAGAATCAAGCGAAATTATTTACCATTTTTGTTGTATCTTTCGCTGATTTCGTATCAATGATATCTTTAATTTCATCATCACACACAATACCAATTAATATTAGTTGTTTACGTTTTTTTGGCGTTCGATCCATTTGTATAGCCCATGCATCATCTGCTCTTCTCATAGACTTGAAAGAGAAAAACAAAAGGTTAATTCGAAAAAAGTTCGATGATTGTTCTTTTATACAAGTTCATCGCGAAACGCTGAGCCAATCAACTGTGGCATGCCGGTATCGATACCATTCGTAATAAACCATACTTCAGATGCATTGGCTGCCTAAATTCGATGAAATTTAGACGATTTTTTCCTCATAAAGGTAAGTAAATACGTACGTTTTTTATTCCATTTTTCAATGTCTCCGTCATTTTGAGATTTTTGAATGGTTTATGGTTTGTGATGCCATTGAGAATAGGTAGGACGATGTTTGGTGGCTTTAATTTCCATTGATTCGTCATAAATTGCCGGAGAACATAAAGATCAATAGTATCATCAACATAAAGAAATGGTCGAGCCTAAAAATCCAACAAAAAATTTCAAACTTTTTCGTTTGATTTCTATTTACTTCGTTGGCATAATCACTAAGTGAATCTTCGAATTTCAAAGTTCCCCAACACGCTCCATACTGCTCTTGAATAAAACTATTGATTTCTTGTGGTTCGATTGTCGACAGTGATCGCACCAGGGTTTCACCTGACGATTGATTCTTCCGATCATCTCCACGTGAAGGTTCTTGCGTCGTTGACGCAATCATCTGAAAAATATTCGACAAAAAAATCTTCCTACTCGCAAAATGTCTCGACAACAACATGTCATTCATACGATCCTACCTATACTGTTTTCACTTTGTATGAATAATATTTTTTGGGAAATCAAACTATACAATTAAAATGCTTGCAAAATAAAATGACAAACTGTTTTGATTTTCAGTCAACTTGTCCCCTTTCGCTTTTTCTTGTTTGGTTACACTAGATTTGCGTCGGTGATTTCTCGTCTCCGCACACATACATATTTCACAGTGACAATCGTCCTCACCACTTTATGCCTTGTCCTTTCTCTTCGTGCTTCTTATACTTCAATCAGCGAATACCTTTCTGTCTGCATATCTAATGAAAGTGTGTCTATGCAATGTAAGAAAAAAAAAGACGCGTAACATATAGGAAAGAACAGAAATGTTATATATATATATATACTAACATTGACAAGCAATCGTTTTAAAAAAAATGGTGCAAATAGTAAATGAGACAAATCTATGCTTCGAATTTTTCTTTTTCTTCTCTCTTCACTTTCTCTTTTACTCGATGAGTATTATTCAAATTTTTTTGCCTTTCGTGCTTTTTGGGTTGTCTCTCGCCCATGTAAGTTACTACTTATTTGGTTTGTATCATTAATATTCATCAACGAAAGAGAAGAAAGTGAAAAAGACGTAAAGAATAACACACTGATTTTCCCATCGGGACTAATATAACCTGAAATGCAATGGTAAAGTCGTCAAGAGTCAACTAATTCTTTTTTCTCTCTGTTTTTCTTTGTCTACTAGTCTTAGTATATCAGTTCCGCGACATATGAAACAATTCTCTTGTTTTATCCGAACAAAATTCCATGACGCTGGTATTGGTCGATATTAACTGCTCAAAATGTCATCTTCTTTCTGATGAAAGTACAAATATAGAAGAGGAAAATAATACAGATGGACTGCGCCAATGATTAATGACATGTGCTGTGTGGGTGGAAAGTTTGCTCTTTGAGAGATAAACAACAAAGGTATTACTTTGAAACGATATCCATCTAACTTATTATTTCGTGAAATGATCTGTATATTTACATGAGTAATGATTTCATCGAGGAACTGATAGATTTCGCATCATAATAGAAAACCAAATATTACCCGTATTAGCAATTCATGTAAAGCATGTAAAACAAACTCGTTTAAGTATATGATGTTTCTATTGGAAAAGAAAATGATGGATGTGAATGATTAAAAAAGTGAAGAAAAATGACAGTGAACGCCTCTGATTAGTAGTGTCATTTTTTTGTTTTTTTCTTCTTCTGTAACATCGATCGATCAATCAATCGATGCTTAATGGTAAAATGCAAGCCATCGAAACGGTCTGATTTATATATTTATTCATTAGACATTGCACAGTATGAGAAGGAAAAAAAAAGAAATACATATAATTAATCTCAATAACAAACAAATATACAGAAAGAAAAAAAACCTGTTGACATGAAAAATCATTCCACTGAGTGATTGTTCTATTTTTTACAATATTGACGTCTAATCAAATCAATTTGTTGTCGGTCAATAAAATCTATCAGACTGTCTAAATACGTTTCGTTATTTTGATTCGACCGATTTCCCGGCCACGTCTGCAATGTAAAATCAGGGCCATAGTATGAGAAATAATCATGTTCAGGGATGTCATTTTCGAGTTTGATATTTAAACACAAGCCAGTAATTGATGTCCATAATCGTGCTGTATCAGCGATGTTATAACCACCGCCGCCTAAGATAAGAAGAGGTTTATTCAGTTGAAGAATCTGTTCGATGCATGTTAAAATCGATTGAGTGGTGAGATTAAATGATTTCATTGGATCTCCGAATAGAGTATCAGCACCACATTGAACAACGAAGACTTCCGGTTGGAAGGACGAATGGATTTTTGGTAATAAACGAGAAAATATCGATATGTATTGTTTATCATCAATCCCATGACGTAATGGAACGTTGATGTTATAACCCCGTCCCCATGTCTCGCCGATTTCATCGAAACTTCCGGAATCAGTAGGAAAAAATCCCAATTCGTATTTATGTAGAGAAACTGTTAATACTTTTGAAGAGCAATAAAATGCTTCTTGAAGCCCTAGCAAAGAAAATCAAACAGAAATAGAAATCGAAGTACGTTACGAAGTCTTATTTATCAATAAATATTGGATTAATAATACAATAGGACAGTCATATTGACAAAATAAGAGCTGATATTTGAAGAAATTCAATCCATAATTGGATTTTCATCGAAATCAAAATTCAATAGAAAAACATGTCCTTGACTGACAACATTCTCTTCGTCATAAACACTCAAAGATCTGAAATAACTTTTTACCGTCACCGTGGTGCAGATCGAGGTCAATGTAACAAATGCGTTGGAATCGTTTTCGAAGTTCATTGATGCTCATGACAATATCATTGATGTAGCAAAAGCCCGATGCTTGAGATCGTTCTAAAATTCTTTCGTTTTCATTGCTTTTCAATATTGACTTATGAAAATCGACAGACTTGCATGATGCCATCCTCCGAAAAAGTTTATTGCAATGTTATTATTTGAAGGATCGAGATGTTTGGCCGCAGTAATCGATGCTCCTCCGATTAGTTTACCTAAAGATAATCGAATTCTTTTGTTCGAAAGAAATGAGAAGGAGTTTTGACGAACAAAATGAAGGAAGATCTTCAAATGGTGGACATTCATAACCAATTTTATACAAATCCATTTGTTCATTGTATGTTGGATCATGTTCAACATCAATATTGCCGATGACATTCAAAAATTCTAAATAATCTCGATCATGGGCTAATGCAAGTTCATTCTCTGTTGCCAATTCCGGTTGAATGACGTGAAAGCATTTGTGTTTATCGAGTTCATAGGCTTGAAGAAGTGAATCAACAAGAAACGATCGATGACGAATTTTGTCGATATTACTTAGAGCTTTATGTAAGTGTTTGGATGTTAAATAAAAAACCTCTCTCATATCTTAAAAGAATAACCAATAAATAAAAAATGAAACGAGAAAAGCAAAAACAAGTTTTAACAAAAAACTCAATGAGGATGACGAAACACTGCGAGAATTATTTAACAATTTGTTCACGTGTTCGTCTAGTTTTTGAGCAAAAGGTTGGAATGAGAAGATTTTCTTCACATGTTCTCGACCTTGTTCGCCCATCTGTTTTGATAAGTTTTTGTTCTCAACAAATTCCTTCATTCGTGCAGCGAACGTCTCAACCAATGGTTCATCACATAGATAACCCGTCCGACCGTCAACAACCGTTTCTAATGGTCCACCGGTCTTTGTCGCGATCACCGGCCGTCCTGCTTGCATAGCTTCGAGCGGAACGATGCCGAAATGTTCATTGCGTGGAGTGTATAGGATACAATGAGCTTTGGAAAGGTATTGATGCTTTTCTTGATCGGAAAATGAGCGAACAAATGTGATGGATGATGAAGGCAGATTTAGATCACGTGCTAGTTGTTGAAGTTCATCAAAATATTCAACATTTTCATATAGACGTTCGTCGTAACCGCCGATCACATATAAATGAATCGATTTCGATTCGGAAGAAAGCAATGTTCGAAGACGGGCAAATGAACGAAGAGCAAGTGCGAGATCCTTTTTACGTTCAAAACGATTGATTGAAAGGAAATTAATCGATTTCTCATTCTCATTCGATGTGGATGGAACGACTTGATCAGGAATTGTCGGGTAAAGAATATGCACTGGAATGTCAGATCGAATATGCTTTTCAAATACTGATTGAGTAAAAGCACTGTTGACTAAGATCCGATCAGCCAGACACGTTGTGTAGATCTAAATGGAAATAAAGATCGAGTCTAAAGTCTTTTTTTTCTGACCGTTTGGAATATTTGCGATAATTATTTTCAAGAAAGAAAAACGATAAGCGAATTATCTTTCATACACGCGATTAATCATTTAATCGGATTAGGAAAGACTATTCCGAAGAGAGATGTGTCGTATTACATGGACAAGGAACGAAGCATGAGAAGCGATTAATATTCATACTCACTTCAAATGTATCAATAGGCCATCGATAAGCTTTCTTCACAAAAGATTCTCGTTTTGTTAATAAATGATCAGGATAATGGCAATAAAACAGAACAGGACGCTGGCTTTGCTTTAAAACCGGTATACACGCACTGATTTGATCGCATAAAAACAGATCGTATTGCTTCTCATTTTTCATCAAGAGAACATAAATAGCAAGCAGAATAAAACGAATATAAGCACATAAAGCATTGAATCTGCCGAAGATATTCCTCGGAAACCATGAACATGCAACAAAAACATTCAACTGGCCATTGCGAGTCTCCTCGAAACATCTTCGTTTATCGTGAAAATTCGTATAAAGATCAACTTCGTGTCCTAAGGATTTCAATGCTAATGCAATGTCAATGATTAAACGTTCGGCGCCACCAAGGCCCAAGTCCGGATGAAGTATTGCGATACGCGGCATATCTAAAACGTGATTATTACGGATTGTTTTATTCATTAATGAAAATGTGCTATTTTTTGCCGAGAAATACTTGAGAAAAACCAACGAAGAAGTAAGATAGATAATATTAATAATACTGATTGATAAAGAAAAATGAAAAGTGTAGAGAAAAGGGGACGGGGAGTAGAATGGGCCGTTGCATGTGTGAGAAATCTGTACAAATAAATAAAATCACGTTGCGGCTAAACAAACAACAAAAAATGGTAGAAAAATACAACAAAACGAGATATACAATAGGAGGAGAAGGAGATCGAAGAGAAGAAAAAACAAAACAAAACATTTTATCTAAAGTATTCATTAGGGTAAACAACAAAAAATAAGATCTGCCTAAATAAATGCATTGTAAGGATACAACTGAAATAAGATCAGCAAAAAAGGCCATCACCATCTGTTAACTAAACGAAAACAAAAGGGCAAAAGTTAGTGGAAATTCCTCGTTAAGATTGATACCCACACTGTTAGATTTCAAAGAATCTTTTTAAGAAGCATTACCATTCACATTGACCTTTGAACACACAAAACAACATTGATAACAAAAAGCAGAAAGATATTTTAAGTTCGCAGATGTCAAAACACACACAATAGACAGTGGTTTTTTTATGAGAATTCACTCACCGGTGAAAATGGTACGGACTTTTCTCGTTGTTCGTATTCTTGTTTCGAAGCCATGTGCTCTTGAATGATTTTCATTCGAATTTCCGTCTAAATGTGATTTAAGAATCGAATTCGAGGAAAGACAAAGCGTAAACTTACAAGTTCTTTCAATTGATTGTGTAATTGGTGTTTTTCAGAATTCAGTTTTTTTATTGTACTTGCACGATTTGATGCTCCTGAACTACTTCGATCCATTTCTAAATCAGCTATCTGCGAATCTTTTTCGCTCAATTCTCCTAGAAGTTTTTCTTGTCTAAAATAATCCAAACGTTTCATCCATTAACGAAAACGCATCGTCAAACTTACTGAGAAATGAACGCATCATCCAAATGTTTGATCTGTTCTTCTAATCGTTGCTCGTACTGCCGTTTTCTTTCATTCAATTCCATTTGTAAATGTGTAACTATCTGAGATTGTTCATTATTTTCTCCACGCAAATGTTCGATTTCATTCTGCAGAGTTTTAATCTAAATGAGAATTTTGTCGTCAAGAAATACGTTCACAAATGATTTTTCACCTGTTTGTCTAAATTCTCAACTTTCCGTTTCTGTTGAGTCATGGCGTATTCTCTTTCCGTGGTGATTTGTAAACTTTCTCGAACCGCTTGTTCGAGTTCTTCGATTCGTTGTTGTTTTTTATTCAATGCCAATTCAAATTGCTGTTGTTCCTGTTCGTTTGTTTCATTCGTTGAAGTCGACGGAGAAAATTTCTGTTGTTCAAGTTCCTGTTGCATCCATTCAATTTCCCGTTTCATTTCCGTACGTTCCAACTCGAAAGTCGATAATCGATCTTGTAACGTTCGATTTTCATATTCTAATTTCGCTGTATCCCCTGAGTCACTTTTAACTTTCTTCAAACTAAGGATTTGCTGTTCAAGACTTTGAATATGTGCTTCACGACGTTGCAGTAACGATTTCGCATTGTTGATTTGTTCTTTTAATTCGATAATGTGATTCTAAACAACAAGCGAGAAATTAATTGTTTATTTCGATTAATACGAGAAACAGTCGTGTGGATTTTAACCTTTTTCCCCTGTATGTTTATCATAAGCGATTGACTGGCAAATGTCAAGGCTGACAGAGCAGTTCTAATTAATAAATCTTGTCATCTCTTTTCGCGGCGAGGGAAGCTGATTAATCCTCCCCCTTTTTTTTCTTTAAACAGATATTACCTTGAGAAACGTTTCTTTTTTTTTCTACTGGAATGGCTGGTTCTAATCTCAAGAGAAATTGTCAAAGGAAACGAACGTACTTGTCCTTCGTAATAATCTTTTTCTTTCTGTTCAAGTTTTAATCTTGTCTCGTTGAGAGTCTTTTGCAATTGTTCGATTTCCTCTTGATGTTCAATATCGAACGTATGTCTTTGTTCGCGTAATTTTTCAATTAGCCGTTCTTTATCGGCGACTGTTGCTTCTAGATTAGAAACTAATGTGTTATTGCTAACTGATGTTTGTTGTGGGATATTGACGGACGCAGCTGTTGTCGTTACGGCTGTTAACTTAGCACGAGCTGCAGCTATTTGGTTTGATTTGTCGCGAATTTGCTCTTCGAGATTTTCGATTTTACGATTGAGAACATTGATCTTTCGATCGCGAATATCTAATTGCTGTTTGGATTCTTGTAAATCGTATTCACGTTGTTGTCGATCGACGCGCGTAGACTGAATTTTCGAGTTTTTCTTTTCAATTATTGCATCTTTTTCTTTCAACCGTGTGCGAAGATCGTTTATCTAAATAAACAAAAACAAAAGTTCGCACTTTATCCATCAATTTCGAGTGTTTTTACTTCAGATTGAATCATATTAACTTGTTGGTCTTTGATCAGTATCGATTCTTTTAAAATACTTATGTAATGCTGTAAATCTTTGTCTTTACTTTCATAAGTATCAACTTTTGCTTTAAGAGTAACACATTCATTATCTTTTGCATGCAATTCGTTGATCCGTTGCTCTAATTTGTCTTTAATGTCTTGATATTGTCTGAGAGAGATCGTATTTGCATCGATGGACGGTTGTTGTTGATCTGGAATGGTGAATGTTGATGGAATTGTTGATGTTAGATTAATGTGTCGAGCTTTCTCAAGTTCATCACGCATTTGTCGTAGTTGCTGTTCGAGAGATTGAACATGAGTGTCCTGAAAACGAAGAGAAACAATTGAATTATAAGAAAATCAATCTCGTTGTTCTTCTCTCCGTACTTGTTTTGAACGTTTTTGGTGCTCGGTTATATATAATTGATATCGACATGATTCGTCTTTTCTTAAAGCTCGTTCTTTTTTCAGTTCGGGACTCCAAAATGTTTTGATACTCTTCATTGTCGCATTCAGTTGTTCTTTTGTCAGCTTTAATTCTTGAACTAATTGTTGAACATATGCGTCATTGTTGGGCTCATATTCGTAGTAATTCATTTGATTAGGAAGATAATTATCTGATGGATAAAATGAAGCATTTGTTGTTGACGAGCGATTCATGTATTCGTGATTTATTTGACGACATAACAGATCGGCACTTCCATGACGTTGATGATTTTGTCGACTTAACGATCGACGAGATTGACGTTGAGCCGATGAGTAGCTATCCTCTTCAGGATAGTAGAGACTTTCACCTGCTGATTGAGAAACCGTACGTTTGGATGGAAAGGTTTCAACAGGTGCAGGCGCATGTGCTGTTACTGGTGGCGGTGGCGGAGCTGGAGCTTTCTTTTGAATCGGTTTTGACGCTGGAGGTGATTCAATTTCATCTTCGAATTCATTTTTCAGAGGTTCGTGTTCAATTGGAGTCTGAAATAACAAAAATTTGTTTTTCTTCTCTTCCAATTATTCGTGCAACAAACCTGTTGAGAATGATTTGATGCTGAAGATTTCGTTGATGACGATGAACTACTCGATGGAAATGATCGGCATTGAATGAATGTTGTTGTTTCAGCTTTTGCTTCAGTTTCCTGATTAGTTGTTGCCGGTGGCAAGGGTGAGATTGACGTTGGATTGTCCAATAACAACAATGGAGTCGAACTAAGATCACCTACAAGAGGAAAAAGTTCATTTCACTTGTCAATCAGCTCATTAACATAATCTACTAACCAAGACTATTCGAAGTACAAACAGGTAAAAGCGAATTGGCGTTATTCTTTGTATTGTTTTCGATTTGGAGTACGCTTGATATCGAACTATTTGAAAATGATGGAATGACAACTGAATCTTTTCTTGTCATTGTTGTTGGTTCAACAACAATTGGAATATTGGTCTGATGATTATGTTCATCATTTGTATTGCTAAACTCTGTCTCTTCATCGTATGAAGGGAAGTCAGTTAGAAGTGTTGCCATCATCTCACCATTTTTTTCTCCTTCTAACTTTAAACGATTGAAGAATCTAAGCTAATAGAATTAGCTATTATTTCCGTTCAGCAATGTTGGCTAAAAAGAAAAAAAGCGATTATGGATGTTGTGTTCTGTGTTTGCTGTCTGATCGATTCAGCGGTTTGTGTTGGACCAATGGAAAATGCATTGTCAAAGTGCATAAGTGACTTGAAAATCGCTTTTCGTTTGCTCTCATTTCGAAGGTGCTTCATTGACATTAATCTCATTCATGGATGAAAAGACTTGCGTAAATATATTTTTTCATCGTCTAAATCAGGATCGCGTGCTTCTTTTGCTTTCTTACATATAAAATAAACACCGACGATCAATTCTTTCAATTACTAACGAATCCTGTCAACTGTTGTTCGTTTCTTTTTTTGTTACATTTCGTCTTGAAAAGAAACTGAAATCAAAGTAAATAGAATCTGATTTTTTTATGGATAAATACGAGAAAATCAAGAAAATTGGTGAAGGTTCATATGGTAAGAATGTTCCGGAATCGGAAACAAAAGACGCATTTGATTGATTGTTTAGGACAAGTTTTTAAATGTCGCGATAAAGAAACAGGCGAGACGGTGGCAATCAAGAAATTTATCGAATCCGACGACGACCCGGCGATTAAGCGCATTGCGATGCGTGAAATTCGAATGTTAAAGGTCAGCGCAAAGCTGAAGTTGTCTCTAGCTAACGAAAATTTCCCTACATTTTTTAGCATTTAAAACACGAAAATCTAGTGAATCTCATTGAAGTATTCAAGACTAAACGAAAACATAAACTTCACTTAGTATTTGAATACTGCGATCGAACAGTACTTGATGAACTTGAATCGCATCGAAATGGGTAGATAGCATCGTCAAGCAAAGAATCTTCCTCTTTGTAATTGATCTTTCTCTCTTTTCATTTCCTTAGTGTGCCGGAAATGATGATCAAGCGAATAACATATCAAGTATTGAATGCTGTGGACTTTTGCCATCGTCATAATGTAAGAAGGAAGAGATTTGTTTAGTAATATAAGACGCGTATATGTTTCTATTTATAGTGTATCCATCGTGGTAAGATTGTTTTAAGATAAATGTTGAATGTAAAATTTTCTTTCCTTTTTTTGATGTTAAACCGGAGAATATTCTGATTACCAAACAAAATGTTATCAAACTGTGTGATTTCGGTTTTGCGCGATTAATGAGTAAGAGAAAATGTTTACACGGATGACGAAAGATTTGTTTTATTTTGTTCGTCATAGGTCAACAACTCGAGATGACTGACTATGTGGGTGAGTAATTCCTATGAAAAGTGGGAAGAAAGAGAAGTAGTTTAATTTAATTTAGCAACCAGATGGTATCGGGCGCCGGAATTACTAGTCGGGGATCGACAATATGGAACTGCTGTAGATGTCTGGGCGATCGGATGTGTCTTTTGTGAATTATATTCGGGTATACCGTATGTATCAGTTTGTTACGACTTTCTTCAAAGATCAGATGCTTTCTGAATAGAATATGGCCGGGCAAATCGGATGTGGACCAATTGTATTTAATTCGAAGAACTCTCGGTAGAAACAAATTGAAAGACGTCGAAAAAAGCATTTCTTCTTAAAATTTTTAGGCAATCTGATTGATAAACATGTTACTATACTGAAAAGTAATCCGCATTACAAAAACATCCACATTCCCGAACCTGACACCATTGAGCCGCTAGAACAAAAATTTCCTTATGTTTCAGAACGAAGTCTTGACTTCATGAAAGTATGTTGTCGTCGCTTTTACATTTCTTGATCGTTTCGTTTCTTGCGCAGAGTTGTTTAGTTATGGACCCGGAAAAACGTTTTACATGTGCTCAACTTTTACAGCATCAGTATTTTGACGGATTTAATAATGAATTTGAGCGCGAGAGAAAAGAACATGCGAAACAATTGCAACGCGAACAGCAAAAATTGTTACAACAGCAACAGCAAGCCAAACTTCAATCAAGTGTCTATGCTTCTGGCGCCGTGCAACCCAAACAACCAAACCCGGGAGTAAATTAATTCATTGTGATTTATTCTCTTTGCCTATGTGAATGAATGTTTAGAAAAGCCTTCCAAGTCTAACCGGTATCACGGGTACACAATTCTCAAATGTTCATTCGACATCGAATCAAGGTGATTATTTAAGACCAAGTCGTTTAGAAATCTACCTTGATCCTGATCAACGCGTTAATGTTCCAAAACCGAGATTCGGAAATAATCAACATCAGAACATGTCAACAAATGATCAAGATCCATCGACAAAGCCTTCACAAACCAAACGCTTGCCCTACGGAGACAATTACACCCACTTTCCAAATATTTAACAATAAAGAGATGAATTTTTGCAACGATTTTTTAGAAATTCTTTTTTTTTGGAAAACGGAAGATCTTATTACCAAGTTTTATGTTGTTGTTCTTATTTTGTTGTCATGATAATATGTCTATGATTGAATTTATATTTTTCTTCTCGCGCGCGTCTTGTCTTTCTCATGTATAGCCTGTTTTTCTTTTTTTTCTGCTTATTGTCGCACACACACTCTTACAAACACATCCCGACATGTAAAACCCGTCTATATATTTTCTTTGAAAAACAGCAGACCAGACCAATGAAATAGATTCAAACTTTTCTTAACAAAGGTTAACTACATATAAGCATATCATTATGTTCTAATGTGATCTGCATCTCGTCATGAAGTTGAGATAAACTGATCGTTTATTTATTCTCACAAGATCTTATTTCCAAGCGATAAATAATCGTTGTACTTAAGAAATATTCCGGTCAAGGGTTTGTTTATTATTGTAAAACGAGAATCACTTACGACAAGAACGAACTTTTGGGTTGATTCATGTCAATTTTGAATTTTCTATCTCGATGAGTTTAAACTCTATATTTCACCTGAAAGAGATTTCTGCATTTAGTCTTTGCATAGAAATCTTCAGGTATCAGTGTGAAGCTAGCACGAACAATTGATATGTTAGCTTAAAACTTTTTACTAAATAAGTCCCGGCCATGAAAACTACACCTTTCGACTCAGAACTTAATTCTGTATCGAATGGTGGTAGTTTTATTCACGGAACAAACTTTAGAAAAAAATTTAACCTGCATCTTTATTTGCTTCCCATATGTCTGTTTATGATTCAAATAGAATTTATATAATTTATTACTAAAGTTGTTTTCAATACCTTCATTATTAGAAACAAATTAAAAATAAATAACGAGCAATCAAGCTTTCAGATCCTGCGGAATTCCGCTAGAAAAAATATCAGACTTTGTCGGATGTCGGAAATGCTAAGAATCTTCGACTTTTGGCGTATTTCCCTCGAATCCGATGGAGTGTACTTGCTCTGAGCATCCATCTCTGAAAAGCGTAATTAAGATTGAAAACCTCAAACTCAGTATTAATTTCTTCTTGTGCACCTTTTTTCGAATCTTATCGGATATGTAGCCTATTTGAAATAAAATATTTTCCGTCCATCATAAGTATGCGTAAATCCCTTGTTCTTCGATGCTGAAAAAAAAGAACATCATGTGAGGTACAGTAGAATATCACTGACGTTAAACATGGTATAATGCTAAGCGTATTCATTGAATTCGAACAGGAATAGAGGAACAGAAGATATTTTGGATAGGTCACTATAATCGACTAGGCAAAATCGGCTTTTTTTTTACAAAGAGACGAGTGACTTGGTTTATGACTTAAAACAAGTCTCTATGGAGTTTCAACTATGCTAAACAATATAGTTTTACCATTTTAGTATCAGATTAACGAGTTCAATGGGCAGGAATTACTTATAAGTTACATATGTATATTGAAATAAGTCTCATTATGCACTTATTCGTTATCTTGAACTTGATCTTCGCTTTTGTTGGATATATTAGATCTAAACTGATAATTCAAGAAGATTTACCGTCAGTAGATGATGCTATTGAGCCGCGTGAGTGCTCTAATCAGAACAAATGTGGGAGGATATTTTTTCCGTGTGTTAGGAACGTAGGAGACTCTTGGGCAACATTGGACATTTTCTTGAGCGGATTCGTTCCAACGTAGGTTTTAATCAAACCAACCATGGTTCCAACTACAACTTGATAAGCTCTATCGGTTTCAATCATAAAAAATTTTCACCCCGCCCACCCATACTCTCACCCTGTCGATTCAACTCTGTTATATCGCCAATATAGTCCAACAGTCTGCCGTAATGTTGTCTTGTCAGTCGATACCCTTCCAGAAGTAAACTCCAAAATCGAGAGAATCTCTCATAAGCACATCGAACCATGGCGCCTCTCCCATCAAACACTGCTTTGTTAAACCTTCATAACTAAAGCATTCACTTTCACTAATCCACATATATTTTCACAGAACAAGAAGCATTATCATTCGGGTCACACCTACTTGTCGCAACAAAATTGATTTTCTATTCTTCCACTACTTCTGGCCGTCACGCAAATCGCATACCAAATGATATCTACTGAGTTCTCAATCGAAAAATATCCTGTCTACGAAAAAGAGTCATCAGATCCACTATTATTTGTTCACCAATTCCATTCATCGCAACATTTACACCGCCTTGATGCTCTAAGAATTAGATAAAACAAAAATCCAAACTTCTAGGCACACAGCATCAATTTTACTGTATTCCTTTGCAATGCATCCGCAATGTGTTGTGCTGCTTTACCACCGATTTGGTTCAAATGGAGATCTAGTGTCGTGAGTGTCTGTAAGTGTGAGGTAGACAGACTGCTTTATCGTCTGTTAAATGAGATGAATATTACCATATTTGTTCGTAATGCATCCGCAATGTGGTGTGCTCCTTCATCATCAATTTGGTTCAAGTTGAGGTCTAGTGTGGTGAGTGTCTGTAGGGGTGAGACACATTGAGTGTTTCATTTTCTGTGAAATGATTTGAGATGAATATTACCGTATTCGTTCGCAGCGCATCCGCGATGTATTGTGCTCCTTCACCGCCGATTCCGTTATATACGAGGTCTAGTGTGGTGAGTGTCTGTGTGTGTGAGGCAGATTGACTGATTTATCTTCTGTGAGATGAGATGAATATTACCGTATTCGTTCGCAGTGCATCCGCGATGTGTTGTACTCCTTCATCGCCGATTTCGTTACCGCCGAGGTGTAGTGTTGTGAGTGTCTGTAGGTTTGAGATAGACTGAGTACGCCATTTTCTGTGAAATGAGATGAATATTACCGTATTCGTCCGCAACGCATCCGCAATGTATTGTGCTGCTTTACTACCGATTCCGTTGTCACGGAGATCTAGTGTGGTGAGTGTCTGCAGATGTGAAATAGACGGAATGCTTCATCTTCTGTGAAATGAGATCAGTATTACTGTGTTCGTTCGCAACGCATCCGCAATGCATTGCGCTCCTTTATCGCTGATTCCGTTGTTGCGGAGGTCTAGTGTGGTGAGTGTCTGCAGGCGTGAGATAGGCTAAGTGTTTCATTTTATGCGAAATGGGATAAAAATTACCGTATTCGTTCGCAACGCATCCGCAATGCATTGTGCTGCTTTACCACTGATTATGTTGCTGCCGAGGTCTAGTGTGGTGAGTGTCTGAATTGAAGTAGCAAAGAGAATCTTTGATAGCACTTCTGGTTGGATATAGGTGATGTGAAATAGTTATGTGTGAGTACGATTTGTTGGGAGCAGTGGGGTCTAAATGCCAATTTTTGGTGTAGATGATTATGCTAGCTGTGGTTCAGGAAATACTGTGTTCAGAGAAGAGGTGCTGTATTTGTTTGGAATCCAGATAGGAGATTACTGCGAACTGATGGAATTAAAAGAGTAGGACATAATTATCAATAGCTATTGATTGTAGTGAGATATCTCTTTTGAAGGCGCGCTCCAATACTATCCAAATCCTGCTGTTGTGAAATTAAGAGATGGATTTGATGTATCCCTGCTGAGAATGGATGTTGACATAGGTCTAGCAACTGTGCAGTGCAGCTTGCTTTAGTTGATGCACTTTTGGTATCGAGTAGCTCAGGGTGCGAACGGTAACGCATAACTATGTATTTTGTTCGTTCATGATCGTGTATCGATCAAATGCATACTCAATATACATAGAAGAACGACGAGAGAGTGGGGGAGTACTTGATTTCATATGATTTCGTACTGTGATAGTCCCATTCAATGAAATTGTTTGCTGATTATGAAATTACTTTGCCTCTTCCTATGAGGAAATTCACGACATCAAATATCATTAAGCTTATGTGTAGCACAACCGACAAGAGTGGTAAAATGCCAAGCAAACTTACTCGATATCGCTCGTAAGTGCTCAAGATCTGATTGAACCTTCGACAAACGTTTTGCATTGAACAAAATAGCGTCTGCTGATTTTGATGATCCATAATTCGATAAACAAGTTCGACAGGTAATGTGCAAAATGTGTGCATGTTGTATTTCAATCGTGCAGAAGACCGTACCGTAGAGATTGGAGGTGATGAAAAATATTTGACTTTCTTCGTTATGAGTAGTAATCCATGATGACGATGTAGTTCTATATGCTTTTGACGAAAACCAATGACGTATAATAGTTTCAACAACCATACGAGTTATCGGCACGCACAGATAGATGGCATTAGAGTATGTATGCTCAGTGAATTCTGTTTTGACATGCACGATGGTAAAATTGAGAATTGAAAGCAGGAAATCTTTTACGCCTTTGACTCTTTTGCAAGCTGATTCGATTTTTATCAAAAGGAATTAACACCAACAAATTAATTTCTCTAACTAAAAAATATAGTGGAAGATGACAAACTCTACAGCTTACGTTAGAGCTTTTATTTTGATTGTGTAAGTTTTGTTTTTGAGAACACAAAATGCTACCCAGTCAGTTTTCAATGATTGTTTTGCACCATTTGACGTTTTCTAGTAAAAAAAACACACATAGTACAATAAGTTTCATGATATAGCTTGCTGAGAGCTTCGTGCAGTACTTCTCAGTGTGTTTGTTTCACTTTTTCAAATCTTATTCGATGATATATAAGACAAGAAAGAAAAAAATGATTGTTTCTCAACCTGAAAAACCAGGCAGATAATCTTTTATTTCTTTTTAAAGCCACAAACTATATAATTGAGCTATGCAGTTCATCGCAGGGATGCTGTTAACGTGAACATATCAAGTCAAGTTAAACTGCCACCCATAAGATACATATTCCTTTGGTGTTGAGAAGTGAATTAGAACATTCACTATCTTTCATATAAATAAAATGATAGCTCCCTCATCGAGATGCTCTAACGATTAGTTGTGAATTCATTTTGATGAATTAATTACCCTATGGTATTTTAATAAATAAGAAAACGTGGAAAGTCTTCGAAAGAACATGTGTTATCGATTCTCTTAGAAAACTAGACGTTTAGCTTATTGGAAAAGTTAAGCCGTTTTTCGATATCCCCAAAAAGATGACGTTGAAGATAATTAGCAAACCTACGAGAACGCTGTAATATCTTGCTTTAAAACACCCGTAGTCTTGTTAACAGATAACTGCCGATTAGTTTCTTACAATACAATAGCCGTGATATAAATACGTGAGCATTTACAACGAAGAGCAAAAATAGTACCTGACTTATCATTTGGTTGTGAAGGATAGTATTTTATGTAAAGCATACTGTATTATATCATTTGATAGGATTTTACTCTGTCCTTTCTTCGATCAGTTATGAAATGAATGGATCTGCATTGCTCTAGTTCTTCAGCATCGGTTTTCCTTTGAAATGATATCTGTATTATGAATATGAACAGAATAACTGTTTTCTTTTGTTGAAATACATATTGCTTATATGATTTACCTGAAAATCCATTTTCTTGCTTAATTGATGCGCATTCATAGCCTCTCTTACCAAAATTATTTTCCACAATTTGATTTCACTGGTAACAATAAGATTAAAATCCACTAATACTCTTCGAACGATTAGAAATGCTAATTAAATACTAGATTCATAGTTGCATCGCTTTGTTGTTCTGTAGAAATGATGAACATCATATAATCCTACCATCTCGCGAAATATGCGTATGCACAATTTGGTTTATTATTGTACGCTCTAATTGTACACACATAATCAGATTTGATGCGTTATAGCGTTTTCCGAGAAATTCATTTTTGACCCAGCACATACTCAAGATGTCACTCACCTAGGCTATTATATTCGTCATGCAAAATTTCCCAATTTCGCAGCTTTGGAAATTGAGATGGACCTTCTATTATGGATGTCCGTGATGGCCCTATAAGAAGTTCTAACCTAATCTCCCTACTGGAAAATTCAGAGATTTTGGTATACAGAGTCGGCGGAAACTGCCAAAGCTCATAAGGTAAACCAACTTTGCTATGTCCCTTCCGACGCTCATAGCTGTCGCAATAAACATGAATGGAAGTTATTGTTGAAAAAAAAGAATGACTAAAATGAAACCCTCATCACCCTCACCCTCACCCTCACCCACATCCACCCTTCATACTTCAGCCAAAACTCAAGCTTTTAGGGTAAAAAATTTGGATTTATCCCTAAAAAATGTTTGCTACAAGATGGGCTAACTCCGATATTGATCTATGCAAGTCGATTGAGCAGCTTTGTTTGTGGCTCTCGTATAGTGACTCCCAAATGAATATTTGATAACTAAACACAGCCTAAATGTACATTGATATATCGATATATATATACGGCACAAGTCTGGAGATAAATGTTTGATATGTGGGTAAATCGTTTTTATTCGTTTTCCTGAGTAAAAAGCTGCCTTGGTGGTCGATGGAAGGATGCATTATTACAAAACAAAACGATATTTTACTTGTTATAATGATGCGAAACGAACAAGACGAAAAAAGTAAAGGATACAGAAAGGACGAAAAGAAAACGAAATTCATCTCATCCACGATTATAATCGTTGCCGGATGAAAATGTTACGCTTCATCGAACCACTGATCGAACATTGGTTGGAAAAAGCCAAGTAATTTTGTCAACGATAAATAAAGGATGAAATTAGTTACGATCACGCAGAACAGATTTCGAATATTACTTAAGTCAGTGTGAAGCTAGCACGAAGGAGCTATAGCACGAACAAACGATGTATTAGCTAAAAAATTTTTTACTAAATATGTCCCGTCCAGGGAAACTATACCATTCAACACAGAATTTAATTCTGCGTCGAAAGGTGGTACTTTTATTCACGGGACAAACTTAGGAGGAATTCTATTTGATTATAAATACACCTATAGGAAGCAAACAAAGATGTAGGTGAAATTTTTTCGAAAGTTTGTCCCGTGAATAAAAGTACCACCTTTCGATGCAGAATTAAATTCTAAGTCGAATTGTGTAGTTTTTATGCATGGGAGAAACTTCATAAAAAAGTTTTTAGCTAACATATCATTTGTTCGTGCTAGCTTCACACCGATATTACCTGAATCATTTATCACGTAAGTAAATCTAATTATCGACATGATGAGTATATAGACCCTTCAAAATAGAAGAACATTCCAGTGCACAAAAAATGCACTGAGACTCATTGTTAAAATCATATTTGAATAGATACCGCTAATATGAATGTATTGAGTTTCCCCTAATCGTATTCTATTTTAGATCGTAAAACAGTTTGATAAAATAGTTCACCCTCACCCTAGTATAGTCTAACGTACACGGCTCTATCATTCATGTTCTGTAATATTAGTCTGCGTTGATGGTAGATAATGTTAATCATAATGTATTACGTTGAGTTTAGGAAAAAAATTGGCGGACAACTATTTAATCGGATATCCTTTTGCTGATTCCGAAGTAACCCTTGATTTCGTATATATGCGAACGATAATGTAATAGAATGCTACTAACCAGAAAGTTCATCCAAGTAATAACTTTCGTTCAAGTTCATATACTGAATCTAGGCAGAAGTCATAGTGTGGATAAAATATATAGCAAGATTCGCACCATTATCTTGATATCTCAGAAAAATATAGACAACAAGTTCGCATAGAAGTTTGTGTACCAAAATGTCTGGAACAGTCTTTTATTTCAGAAGAGCCATTTTTCCATACACACTTTATCGGGCTTCAGATGATCAACTTTGTAAGAACAAACTTAAGAAGTAATCATATTTGTGGATCAAGATAAGACAAAAAAGAAGCTTGTAAAATTCTTTATTATGTTCACTATCCCAAAAAGCACTTACTAAGGTATACGAAATGCAAAAATCGAGTGATAGTTATTTTTAATTTTTTTTGTCCATAGTTTGATAAAGTACTAGCTGCTGACCACGAAGAACCACTTTTTATTCTTTTTAAATTCTATGTCAAAAAATGATTATTGAGAACCTCTGAGGTCATCATTAGCTCGAAAATTTATTTAATGGTAGTATTTCTTATATGTCCCACTACAATACCAATACGTGGATCTTGTAAACCTAGCTGGTTTTGGTAGAAAGATGCGAGCACCAATTTTTTCAAAAATTTTAATCATGATGAGTCTCTATAAAAGTATGCATTGCTTTTGTTTTTATCTATTTTCTTTGTGACAAAAAGTTCACTTAACTGATGGTATAGGGAATCGGGGGATCATTCGGATATAGCACACTCCTTTTTCTCTCAAATCGAATGAAAAATTTTCCCCAGAAATAAAACTCGATGCCAAATTGGATGAACATTCTTCGACGATGCATACATAGTAGGGGTTTTCCACATTTGGTCTACGAGAATGTGCAAAAGTTCCGTTTATATTTCCTTTACATAATTCTTCTTATGATTTTCACTTCTTGTTAGGTTATACAGAGACTGAATCCCTTATGTAACCATAGTGATTGAACAGTTATATCAAGATTTGAATCATCGTCTTTCCAATAGTGGTATTGGCATTTTTCCAACTCTCAGAAAAAGGAGGCAAACATTTTCAGGCCTTTAATTTCAAACTTCTTCGATTAAGATCGTATTTATCGTATTCACGTCATGAAGCTAACGTGAAAAAGAAAAGAACATCAGCAAATACGCTATTATTAATAGTGAAGACGGAATGGTGCTTCCATGTTCCAGCGATTTCTGGTGCTTTCCTGTGGGAACCGACCCGTACTTTTTGTAGTTCGTTGGAAGAGAGCCTAGTTGTCACTACTAGTTATACTACTGCTCATCGTATTGATCAATATATTGTAAAGAAATATCTAAAGTATCCTACTAGCAGCTCCAATATATTAGCATGAGAATAGTTAAAAAAATTTTACTGAAGTAGTAATTCTGATGTTAGCTAAAATTATCAGATATTCATTTAGTTTATTTCTTCCCAGTAATAAGTAAATTTAGATAATTTGCATTCTATTTATACAAGTGCAGTATTGGCACTAAATCACCAATGCCTCTTATTTAGATGCTTGAAACAACTTCCAGCTTTTAAAGCATACGCCACAAAGTTAAGTATTGTACATCAGTCTTATCTCGGATTGTACTTGTCACTAGTGGAAACAAAGCAAAAACCAGGAGCCATTGTGAACGAAAAAAGTAGTTTCCCTTTTTCTTTGTTGTATTTAGATAGATAAAGGTACAGAGATTCAGAGTCTTGTTTTAATTTTCTTTGAGATAACTTGTGCTTGGTGGACATCCATGAAATACTGACCAGACCGAAATTTAGTTATCGTTGATTTGCTCATTTAAAAATATGACTTTCTCGTCATGGTACGTAGTTAGTATACTGATAAATGTAGAGTGTTTATTAACCTGACATGACCGATAGAGACAACTTTTATGAAAATCAATTCTAAATTATATTGGTCTTTTATGAAATGGGCAAGCAACTTTTAAAAAGATAATCTTCGAAATCTCTTTGTATCGGCATGTTTTGACTTTGGTGACATCAGTATGTTTTAATCACGTTAGATATTCTCCGTTAAAGTTATATATTTTTTTCTTTCGTTGTTCCTAACTGTAAGAAAAAAGTTGCTAGTGTAGTCCCGGTGGAATTAAAATATAAAACACTATTTTATTGCTATCCTGCTTAATAGAATTAGCTTCATCGCACATATGACGCACCAGATTTTTGTTTAACCCTGTAAAATAAGCTTAGAAAAAAGGTGTATCTCGTCCTTCGTGACGATCTATGTATATCGAACATAATCTTTTATACACAATATTCGTACACTGGCAACCCTGTATGACGTCCCAGACTGACGTGTGGCATCTGACGCTGTCGTTCACTATCTATAATACTCTATAACTATCGGTAGTAATTTGTAGAGAGAAGGGGTAGACGGAAATGATAAGCTTGAGTTTTCGCGCTCTTAAAACTTCAAGACTCTCGTTTAGATCGTGTCTCACGAAAAAAGAGAGAGAAACTGTTTCTTTTTTACTGTTTTCGTTGCTAAAATATGCTAAGAGCCATCTCTAGCTCACATCTGTATAGAAAGAGTAATATTTCTTGTTTATTGCACGCAGGTATACGGTCTGTTATTCTCTATTTTACAACTAAATGTATAAAACTCTGGAGTCAACGTTGAATATCCACTATATTTTAGGCTACCACTTCCTTCTATTGCTCAATTATAATCATCCCCGGCCCAAACCAGCGTTCAATAATCACAGCGTAAGACGATTTAATTCATTCTTCTCAACCTGCACACGCCTCACATCCCCGCATCGTTCACAACCGAAGACTAGACGTGCGAATAACAACCTAGTTGTTGTAACAAAAAGAAGAGCAATATGGATGAAAAAATGCTCAAGATCAACATGCTATCGATTACTTTCGCAGGAGTTTTCATTGGACTTAGTGGAATTGTACTTTATTTTATACGTTCTTTTATTTCTTCTTACATGAGGTATTTTTTACCCATACCTCCTGTTGCTGTTGCTGCATACGTATTTGTTTTTAATATGTTCAAATTTTATAATGCCTCTTTACCTTCTTTTCGTGATGTTTTGATTGATGTGCTATGGAGTACTTTAACTACTACTGTGATATTTTTTGTCTTGATTGTACTAATGACTTTGATTATTTGGGCAATCGTACGATAGTATCAACATGACTGAAATGTAAACTAAACAAGTGAAAATCTTAATATTTTTTCGAATGTTTTCATTCTCGAAAATCATATGACAAAACAGAAAGCAGAACAGATAAAATTCCCAGGTCGAAGCAGGCACATCGGATCTTGTCGGGAGTAGTGTAGAAATCGTTAACTCGATTCGAATATTGAAATTTCATTCGAATTCTAAATTTTAGAAGTTGAAAACTGGAAAACTCGAATGAAAACTTTAATACTCGAAATGTCTTTTCGAGTTACACATGTATGGCTTGCCGTTACAATTTCACTGGTAGCAATAAGATTAAAATCGACTAATACTCTTCGAACGATTAGAAATGCTAATTAAATACTAGATTCATAGTTGCATCGCTTTGTTGTTCTGTAGAAATGATGAACATCATATAATCCTACCATCTCGCGAAATATGCGTATGCACAATTTGGTTTACTATTGTACGCTCTAATTATACACACATAATCAAAGTTCTCTGGCGGCTTCTATTGCACTGTGCAGGTGGAATTTAGTCGATTAAGAATACTCTGTTATGCTAACTTCACATTTATGTAGAGCGTGGACAAACGTTATCCTTCCGCTACACATCACGTTGGTTTTCTTCTCTTATCCACTGAAAACAAAGGCCTTGTTAACATATTTTTCAGGTAAAACGACACTTTTGAAGGATTTGGTAGAAAAACTACGAAGCCTTCAAAGAAAGGGGGCACAGCTCACAACAATTCTAATGCAAGCATCTTAGGTTTATACGACACCTTCAAAAGGGTTTCAAGTTCGTTGCAAAAAATGTTTCGCGCAAATCCTTTTTTGGATTCGGATATTATTAGAAGATATATTTAATCTTCTCTTCATTGAGAAGCTATAGTTGATTTCTTGTCGTTTGAATACAACTATTAGTTCGATTATGTCATAAAATAGCATCAAAGAACGATTGGAAAAAGAAATTAATACGATAATAATATGAAAATATCACGTGAAAGGCTATTTTGTCTTATTTAGCTTTCATCCAATACTGGCGAAATACAACGAATTATGCCGTAGTTAAGCGCGCTTCAATTAGTTCTTTTTGACTAAAATGTTGATAGTAGCTCGAAGGGACGAACTCGAAAAGCAAAATCTCGAGTTACTAGCTGAAGTGCACAAATACCAATCTGAAAATTATCCATGTGTTCTCTTCCGATCAAAATGTGGTGCAGTTGCGGCGTAACTACCAGAACACTATGACCCGTAAATGAGAAAAGTGTTGCATGAAGGTGCATAATCGCGAATTCTGCGCCACAACTGCGACATAGTTGTTAAAAAATAGACAACATGGGACGAATCCAACATATCTTATAAATGAAATTTTAATGAATATCCTATTTTTTTATATGCCTAATTCCAACAGATAGATAACGAAAATTCATGAAGATTGGATATCATGAAGTATCAAGTGCTTTCACCCTTAGTTTCCCACCTACATATGATGTGTATAGGTTACCCTTCGAATTTGTGAAGCTTTGCTTTATTGACAATATACTTACAAATGTCGTGTTCAATTGTGTTATTGAGCTACATGCAGATGATTGGGCTTCATTTGAACATGGTTTTTTTCTTAGAATAGCTAAAGCTTTTCAATCGCTAAAGAACGTTTTGAATTGGTAAAATTACTCGGCAGTCAAATAATGTGGAGAGATCATCTGATAGTATTCAGTCGAATGAAATCGTTTAATAGCATCATCTCAGTTCACTTGAGATTGAAAGAACTGATATTATTTATGTCAGTTGGCTTGAAAGATTATCATGCATATTTTCGTTTATTGTAAATAAGCTTTCATTAAACTTGTTTGCCAATCTGAATCAAAAATAAAATTAACTATTTCGTTTGTTACTAACAATGAGGGCAGAATAAAATGACAAAATGCTTCCATTCTATGGAACTAACATATACTTTCGAAAACAAACACGAAGCGCAGTTTTTCAGATTATAATCAGATACAAATGGCAAACCCTAACATCATAAATCATTTTCGGTTTTCAACGATGCAACATCATCGACATATATGACAGGTATATGGTCACACAGCTAGTATCGGGAAAAGAGACATTGACTATAGATAAGGAGTAATATTCGTGAAAATATAATTATACCCCAATCATAGGTAAAATATCAACTGAGAAAATGTGAACAAAAGCATGCATGTTGATGACAATCATCATTGACAAAAGAGAGCAAAAGGCGACACGAGGCTGAATCTGTTGAAAATATTGATATTCGATTTATCTAAATTATTTCAGCGCGAGAAAATCATTGAATATGATATCAGTACTAAAAATGCATTTTAGAATTGACATATAAAAATTTGAGTTGTAACTCAAACAAACTTCGATGCTAAAAATTGTCTCTGTGAGAGAGGTCACTAGTTTACACACGCAATACTGTATTATGAGTCACTTTTCCCTGTATACCAATTAGAACTTTGCTGCTTGTTGTTGACTATCTAAGTCTTTTCATCTCTAGCATGTTAACAACTGAAGATCGTCAGTGTAGTCTTTTTCATCGTGTATTGTAATCTTATATGGCTGAACTGTCATTTATCTCTGAAGTCCGAAAAATTCACTTCATAATTTGCATGATGCAACATGAAAGTTAATTGATTCTTGTTTTAGATTGACGATGAACTTAGAAAAAGTGAAGTTAGATCAAGTACCTGTAAGTTGAAAGATCGAAATTGATCGCCAAAAAAATATCCTCCTTTTCAAGGCTTATTGCGCACGTGTGAACGTCAATGGCATTCAACGAACTAAAGAAGATTATCTTCGTCATCAGATCGACAGTGTCTTTACATCAAATACGTTTGAAGCATTGCTTCTCAATGCTGAACAGTTACGTAGTAGACTCTTACAACTCGGTTGTTTCCGAGATGTCACCGTCGTTATCGATTCCGCTAAAGGTTCGTTCGGAAAACTGATTTGATTCTTTGTTCTATTTGAATACTTGTTCTAGACGCCAAAGCTGATTATAGCTATGATGTAACATACATCACTGAGGAGTTTCGACCGATATCTGGAGGAATTAACACAGCTGTTGGACAAAATGAAGGATCACTTGTAAGAGATGAATTGATTAATAGTCGTTCAGAAGGCTGAAGTGATTATTTTAGTGTACTAACTTTTCTTTGCCGAATTTGTTCGGTCGAGGTGAAAAATTTGGTGTTGACTATTCGTACAGTAATCGTGGAAATACGGAAGGACGAGTATTTTTTACGACACCAACACAACTTGATCCAAATAAACAGTAAATTGACAGAATTAATAAAAATTTCATTCATTTGCTTATAAAATATTTTAGATTTTCAATGTCTTTATTTCGAACTTATTTTGATAATACTTGGAGTTCATTTAAACAAGATGATCACGGAATAAATATCAGTTACAATGTAAGAAATTCAATTTTTAAGGTCGAGGGTTATCTTATTTTGACAAACTTAGATTCCTCTTGGTGTCGTTCCAAATGCTGTCCACAGTTTTACATGGGAAGGTGTTTGGCGTTCAGTTCTAGCTGCTAGTCCATCAACATCTCTCGATATTCGAAAAGATGCTGGCCACTCATTAAAATCTTCTTTGAAAGTCTGTTTTCATTCCTATAATTCGCTTTAATCATTCAATTTTAGTACACAGCGACGATTGACAATCGTGACCATCCTGTCATAGCACAACGTGGTTCATTTTCTCAAAGTTCGATTGAATTGGCAGGTCTTGGAGGTGATAGTCAATTTGTTAAATGGTCAACTCAACATCAAGTTAATCTTCCGTTACCGATGAAGTCGATTATTCAATGGTGTCTATCAGCTGGTGCTGTTTGGCCACTTTTTCAAGGAAACAATCGATCGATTAAAATCAATGATCGATTTTTTCTTGGCGGACCATTGAATATTCGAGGTTTTGACTATCACGGAGTTGGACCACATAGTGAAGGTTTGAAAAGGCGATCTCCTCGGTAAAAATACATCGAATTGTGTTTTAAAGGAGCAGCATTAGGTGGTGATTGCTATTGGGCATCCGGTCTTCACCTTTACACGCCACTTCCGTTTCTCTATCATCGAGAAAATCTAATGACTCATGTTCGTTTACATTATTTCCTCAATGCTGGAAATGTCTTCAATCTACAATCCGTTCGTGAGTATTCTGTTGAGATTTTCATTGAAGATTTCGAATCCGGATTACTTTCAGGTTCAACCCAGTCATTCTTTTCCCAATTAACAAACGCAACGCGATTATCATGCGGGCTTGGTGTTGTTTTGAATCTAATGAACGTCGCTCGATTAGAACTTAACTATACTCTTCCACTTTGGACACAAGTCCACGATCGGTTTGTTGAAAGTTCTGATGAAAATATCCTTGAACAATTTTTGTTTTTAGAGTGATCAAAGGTTTTCAATTCGGTGTTGGATTTACATTTATTTAACTTTCGCAGAAAAGCAACTTCTCTCTTTCGAACGATATGTAGAATTTGTTGGTCTTTGTTTTCATACATATAGAAAGATTTTATATGAAAAATCTAGTTAGTATTTTCGATATAGGAAATGGATAACACATTAAGATAAAAACTGATTGGTTATGCTTGAATGAATCAGTTACTTAAAAGTATTTATTTTAGATATTAATGAATGTTTATACTCGCTGAGTATGTTTTGTGAATCATTATCAATTTCCTAGTCTTTAACAAAATCACATTTATATGGTAAATGTCATAACTTACCTGATACTCTTATCATTTTCAGCTCTTAGGCTAAAAATTTGATTCAAATCGTGATATTAGGCGCACAAGTTGTCGGTCGAGCATTTGCTCGAGCCTTACGGCAAGAAATTCAACGTAAAGTTCGTTCAAACGAATAGACATTTTCACTTTTCGAAAATTCTTTTAGATGCAAAAACTACACAGCAGACCGGAAAAACATCTGCGAAAACCGTCCAAGCAGATCGTGTCACCGGCATGTCTATACAAGTGATTAGGCACACGTTTTTTCTCTTCGATGAATCATCGTGTATGTTTCTAGGAAGCAAAACAAATTCTCAATATCACTGATAATGATTTGAAGGATTTGGAAAAGATTAGTAAACAATACGAACATTTGTTTAATCTAAATGATAAGGCCAAAGGTGGTTCATTTTATTTACAATCGAAGATTTATCGAGCGAAAGAACGGATTGACAAAGAATTGAAAGTGTCCTCCTCATCGACGACGTCCGAACCACCGGAAAGTTCGAATGAAAGCAAATCAGCTTAGTTGTTTTCTTTTCTTTACACGAGCATTTTGTATTTTTTCACACGTGAGAAGTTTTCTTCTGTAGGAATTCAAATAAATTATTTTAGATTATACAGAAATATGACATGCTGGGATATTCTTCAGGAAAGATGCGAACTTTTTCTCGAATCAGCAGCCTATGTTCAATGCGATCGCCGACAACAGCTTCTAATCATTCATCATCCATCCATGAAAAATCTTCCGGCGTCTTCGGCTAGTTCGATATTGAGTGGTAGTGATCATGGGAGTGTAGTTAGCAGGCTAACAACAATATCGGTTGGAACATTTATCCCTAGTTAGTAATGAAGGATTTCCGACGAAATTTGATCGACGATGAAGTTTGTTTTAGTCCAACTCGAACGGATTCAATATATTCAACGTGCTGATGGGAGTAGTGCAGGCCGTTCAGCGCGAAACTATGATGCGAATAACCATCAACAAGGACAGACTAACCGAAATCGACAGCAACCGAAGCTTTTAGAAATATTTTATTGTGAGGATCGGGCGCGGTCGGAGTATCTCTACAAAAATGTTCTTATTCAATTGAGAAAATCTGGTAAAAACGTATCTCTTCAGTCAGTCATCTGAATTCTCGTGTTTAGATGAGGAGTTAGACAAATGGATCAATGCACTGTATGAAGTTATGCACGAATCAAAGAATTTGAACGAAGCGGCAAAACGAAATCGGTTGGAAATGAAAGAAATTCTCGAAATCATTATGCAGATTCGCTTTGTTTAGATGGCTTTTGCGCGAATATGAAAAGTTGAGAAATTCACGGGGCGGTTTAACATTCGATTCGATCAATGGTTGGTTAAATTCCCATCTTGGTCTTTTTGGAGAAAAATCTAACGTAGAAAAATTGATGAAACAAGACGAACTCTTTCGTCAATCGAACGAAATTACTGATACTTTATTCAATACAATTTATTATTTTTTCGTGAAGAAACAACAAGACGTAAATCAATTGGAGATTCTCAGATTCGTTTATCAATGAGGTTTATTTAGATTCTCACGAAAATGCTTATGTCGGATATAGTTGATGATGGGTAAGTTCAGAATTTACTGAAAAAAGTCGAATTTATTTACGTGTTTCTAGCCACGTTGTGCTAGAAAAATTCGCATCGAGAGTGACAAATAATCGACGAGATACTACAGCACAAGAACTATACAGAATCAAAGACACATTACATCTGGAGCCCGGAGATTCGTATATTTCTCCCCTACAAGTAACAGATTAACACTTTCAAGTTCAAAACTCAAATCTTTTCCCTCGATTAGAGTTTCAATTATCTTTGGTCTGATGCAAACTCCGCTTTTGATCCAGTTTCCCGTACCACATGTATCGATGATTTAGATCAACCTTTGAATCGCTATTGGATTTCATCAAGTCACAACACGTAACTATGACTCTTACGAATCGTTTCATTTTCTTCCTTCCTTCAAATAGGTACTTAGCTAAAACTCAACTGTTTAATCCATCATCGATTCATTGTTACATTCAAGCTTTATTAAAAGGCTGTCGATGCATAGAAAGTAAGGAAATCATCATAATTGTTTATTTTTGAAAGTTTGCTTTGCATAGTTGACGTGTTCGATCCTCGAACTGGAAAAGAACCTGAAATTACGCATAAAGGTACGCGTATCAAGCCTATTCCATTACGTGGTGTTCTCGAAGCGATTATTGACTACGCGTTTATAACCAGCGAGTATAAAATTTCGAAATGAGATGAGAACTTCTTGATCTTTCATATCGATATAGATATCCAGTGATCATTTCAATCGAAAATCATTGTTCACCACTGCAGCGCTCAGTCATGGCTCGAATGTTTATTGAAATCTTCGGTGGTAAGTTGTAGTTGAAAGAAAAATTTCGGCATCAACATGAAAATAGAAAGAGAATTCTATTGAGTAGATAGTCTTATCCAAGCGCCTCTATCGCCAAATGAACTTGAACTTCCTTCTCCTAATAAACTAAAGCGAAAGATTATTCTGAAGGTACTATCGCTGCTCGTGCTTTCTGCTGCTAACTCTTTCTCGTTTTAATCTAATTCGGAACTTGATTTTTAATATGAATAGGACTCGAAAATGAGTGCTCTATTGCTGTCACCACAAAGCAGTGTTGAGGCCGATGAACAGTCGGATATTTCTACTAGTCGACTGGAAGGACATGTACAGTTGTACAATGCATCAAAAAAAGTCGGTTTCTCCGTTTGGAACATGGAAAATTCGATATTCTTATCATTGTAGAATTGGGTAAACTATAATTATACAGCGGAGAAGGACAATATCTACTTGGCTCAAGTGTATGATTTGCAAAAGATAGAGAAAAGCTATGAAGATATGAGTGATGATGAGCCTGTTGATGTTGAAGTTAGTTTAATGACAACCCTCGTCGATTTGAATGTTTTCTTCGATGTTTTGTAGAAAGATGATTCCAAAGATGGGTTTATTCAAATTTGGTATCATGGAAATATTTCTCATGAGCAAGCTCGAAGATTATTCCTAGAAAATGCTGGCTATGAAGTTGGGACTTTTCTTATCCGAAGAAGCCAAAACAAGAATTGTTATTGTTTGACCTATCTGTATGGCGACACTTGGGTTTTTCTGGATATTTCTGCTCATTTTGTCCTATTTTAGTGCACCGAGCTCGGCGGTGAAGAGCATTGAAATTCAGGAGACCATAACAGCTGATGGTGAATGTCTTTATTCCCTAGCAGACAGAACGTTTGATTCAATCCCGGATCTCGTTGCTGCTTATCGAACATATAACTTTGCCGATGCGAAATCAGAATCAAATGAAAGCAATTCTATACGATTAGGACGGCCTGTTCCACGGCCAAAATGGTACCAAGAGTTGAAGAGTAAAAAGTGGTATCAACCGGATTTAACACGAAGACAAGCAGAAGAATTGTTACGCGAGATCGGGGAAGAGATGACATTTCTCATTCGAAAATCATCCAATCGTGATCGACAAGATTATAGTTTATCTGTTTATTATAATGGTGGTATTCGGCATTCGCCGATCTATACCGATGGTACGGACTTGATGTTACAATCAAAAACCTTCACAAGTTTAGTGGAAATTGTTGATTATTATTCGCATAAACCGGTGTTTAATGGCCTAACTTTACAAGCTCCGGCGAAATCATATGAGGAGTTTCTTCGTGAACGGGAACAGAATGGCACACATGGAACGAATAAGCATATAATCTTTCAGCCATTAGAAGCAGCGATTTCCTTACAAGCAGATCAATTTCGAATAAGTAAAGAGAAAAATCATTGATTTTCTCGTTAAGAAAAGCGCGTTTTTAAGGAAATATTGATGGAAATTCGGTAAAATCAACGATTCAAGTGGAGTTACTTACAAATGACGAGGATAAAACGAAACCTCACGGTTATCTAATGAAGTTTGATTCAGCCAAGGAATGCCAAGTATTTGCAACACGACGTGGCTTGATAATGCCACCAGAATCACCTCCGCTAGGACCAAATCCTAGTCGATCGAAAAATAATGCAATATCAAACGAAAGTGCAAGAATGTATCTTGCGGATTATGATAAACTGATCATCTACTGCCAAGGCGTAAAATTAAAAGACCGAGATATCGCGAGAGCACAAGACCTTTTGGGTAAACATGAAAAATAAAGTTCATGAAGAACGTCTTCTTTTTCCTTGCAGAAAAAATCAAAGGATTTGCAGAAATGGTTTCATTGAATAGAACTAAAGGTGCTACATTTTGCTCTGATATTCGATCAATGCTACAGTATGTTTTCTTAGCAAAAAAACTCGATTGTATACATTTGTTTTCTTGGTTTTAGGTTTAATCTAAATCATTTCACTCGTATTTATCCTGATTTTAATAAGCAATCGTGGAATTCGCGAAACTTTGATCCAATGGCGTATTGGGTTTCTGGGTGTCAAATGGTCGCGCTAAATGTTCAGATGCCAGGTGAGACAACATCCATTTCGATTGCACCTTCCCAAGCCATTCTTTTCCGTAGATCATCCAATGCATTTGAATGCTGGTCGATTTGCAGCAAACGGAGGGTAAGACATCGCTCGACAAGAAAACTTCTCACCTTTTCTTCTAGTTCGGGCTATATTCTTATGCCAGATTACATACGTTCATTCGATCATCTTAAACCGGAAATCCACACAGTGTCAATGTTATTGAAAATTCGCATTATCGCTGTGCGACATTTACGGTCCGATCAAGTGAAAAGTATATCGAAAGTTTATATCAGAACATCGATCGACACTGGAAGTAAACGAAAACAAGCTGAGAATCAAAGTCTACTGAGTAGATCATTCGTACATGATTTTATTCTTTTATATTCTTTTCCTTTTGATAAATAGCAACTATTTATGGTCCATGTGGTGTTTGGGATTCGAAAAAATCTCCTCCGAAACAAAACGATCAATTACTCGCACAATATAGTCTTCAATCGCATAATAAAGACGTCGATATTCTCTCTTTCGAAGTTGTTACCGATAATGAAGAATTCTGTGGACAATCAACAATTCCGTTATCGTGCTTGAGATCAGGTTTCCGATTTTGCTTATTTGTACAACAATTATTTCAAGATATTTTCTTAGGTATTCGATCTGTACAACTTTACGATAAATTCAACGAGCGCTTAGATTTAAGTGCGCTGCTTGTCGATATTAATTTTCAAACGAGTAAAGCTAGTCTTGCAATAGGATAATTATATACAAAATATTTGATTTTAGTGTAATTATTTGACTAAATGTAGTTCCAATCGATCATGCTATTTCAAGAAAAATTTCGTCAAACATTGAAAATAGAAGATTAGAATCAACGGTCGCGTCGTTATTAATTTTTTTTCTCGTTTATTTTTGTACACATTCTGTCATTATATTTTCTCTTGCCTTCTTCCNCGAGTAAAGCTAGTCTTGCAATAGGATAATTATATACAAAATATTTGATTTTAGTGTAATTATTTGACTAAATGTAGTTCCAATCGATCATGCTATTTCAAGAAAAATTTCGTCAAACATTGAAAATAGAAGATTAGAATCAACGGTCGCGTCGTTATTAATTTTTTTTCTCGTTTATTTTTGTACACATTCTGTCATTATATTTTCTCTTGCCTTCTTCCTCCCTCTCTTTTTCTCTCTCTCTCTCTCTCTCGCTTGCATTCGTTACCTTGCACCTTATGTCTCCAGCAAAATAGCAAAGTGTAATTTGATTTTACACAAGTCAAAGAAGCACATCATACATACACCTGTATCAGAGGAACAAAGTAGGACGAGAAGGAGAGAAAGAGAGAACAAGATTGCAATATGATATTTTCTTCTTCACATTCGTTCTTTTCTTCGACGATATTTCTCTCTAATTATGTTACACCGATGTTAATCTTCCCTTTTACTTTTTTTCATTAATATTGGACACCTTTTTCTTCTTTTATATACACGTAGAAGTTTTGTATCTTCTTTCCTTTCTTTTTTCGTTCTTTCTTTTCTAGTTGGATCTGTCAATTCGATGTTTCAAGGACAATGAGACAAGAGCGTGTGTCAACATACTTCACATTATCGTCTATTTCTTTTGTCGCATGTTTTGCAGCTGCTGATTCCTGTTGAAAGGTGTCACATAGTAGTGTACTACTTTGCCATTCTAGCAGAAAGAGAAAAGAACAATGATGAAAGAGAATTTCGCATTCTTCTCTCCGTGCTTCATCCCATTAACAGTCTTTCATCATCACCAACGGCACAACCACTCATATTAGTTTTTTGTCGCGATGATGTTTCGCTCTAGACAATGTGCGACGCGTGCCTCTATACGATCAACAAGATAGGAAAAAAAGAGAAAAAGACAGAACGAAGGAAAACGAAGGTTTGCACAGCCCCGGACGTCCGTGTCAGTTTGCATGAGTGTTCTTCTTCAGTTGCGTTGGATACCTCCTTGCCTTTCCTTGATTGATGTCGTATGCGATAGGTTACCTCGTGTGTCAGCCATCATCTATGTAAGTAAGTATACTATAAGAACCGAAAGGAAGAATAGAACGCTAAATGATAGAACAGACAAACGACCGAACAGAATATTTTAAATATACAATACGCCCTCTCACATATTCTATATGTGATTATGAAGAGTAGACGCGTTTGTGCGATCTCGTTTTTCTCTTCGTATGTATTTAGAAGGTTGCCCCTCGTCTCTCTATTGCTATACGCTCTGTCGTGCAGCACTCGAGTAACTGAAAAAAGAGAAGGAAAAAAGAGGCAAAACATTGTACGATGCGATGCATCCATCCAATATAAAGAAGAAGAAAAACGAAGAACGATTTTTTTTATGCGTCTCAATAGAAAAAAAAGCTGGGCCAAGGAAAAAGGGTGGCGGGGAACGAGAGAGTAATAGAGAAGGAGAGAAAGAGAAAACGGCAAGGCGCGTGCACTAATCACGTCCTTGAACGGCTCGCTTGTGCTCTCTCGATGCCACTGTAGGCGTTGGTGGGTTCCGGCTGCGCACAAAACTAGAATGAGAAGAAGGAGATGATGATGATGATGATGATGATGAAAGAACTTTTCCCTTGCGTATTCTCTATTTCTCTATCATTCGCTTTCTGTTTCTCTCTTTTCAATTGAAGTCAATCATCAGCTGTATATTCTAGAAACGATTCTCCTTTTTTCATTCATTATCGTCGTCTTTCTTTTGATCTACCCAGTTCTTCTTCAATGCAATCATTAACACTGAATGATGATGCGCAACGACCCATCTGGTGTCCTGTCATCGTGTGATTTACTCGTCGATCGAACAGACGACAACTACGACTCGATGGTGAAACCTCATCAATCTGATTTGCATCAATATCATCACTCTCATTATCCAAATCATCATAGTGATTCGTCGCGTTCATCATCAGTTTGTTCGTCGTCACTTTCACCCAAAACTTCCACATCAACGGGTGCTATCACAACAGGCATTTCATCAGCAACTGTGCCAGACGCAACAGTTGCCGTCACTCTAACTGATATCGATCCACAATTAGCTCAACATGTCGAATATGAATTAGGTTTAACAAAGAAGAATGGAAATGGAACTGGAACACGAAAAAATGCTTGGGGAAATTTAAGTTATGCTGAATTGATTAGTAAAGCGATTACAAGTAGTGCTGAACAGCGGTTAACATTATCGGAAATCTATGATTGGATGATCAAATATGTTCCATTCTTCCGAAATAAAGTCGATCGAATCAGCAGTGCTGGCTGGAAAGTAAGTTTCA